GCAACAAAATGGATGCAACTGGAAATCATTATGCTTAGTGAAATAAGCCAGGCCACCAAAGACAAATATTATATGTTTTTTCTAATTTGTGGTAGTTGATATACAGAAAGAGTACAAAAAGTTTTTAATGTATATAGATGAAATTGACATCTTCAGATTTCATTATTGTTGGTAGTTCTGATATATAGTCCTGCTGAACAGTGATCTTTCTACTTTGTATTCGTTGATCTCTTCATTTAGTGGCACATTAGGTGTTTGACTAAAAAGGAAATAAAAAATGTTATTCACAAAAATTTAAAAAGTAAGAGGGAAGAGATGGAAAAGGGAGGGAGAAAATGTGAAAGCAAGGAAGGAGAAATATTTATATTCTTGGAATCGTATCCATGAACTACATTGAATCTGTGCTGTTTATATTAATTAAAATGTAAATTAAAAAAACCATGCAAACAGCTCTTTTGTAGCTGCCTCATTATTTGCACAGTAATGGATTTATAATAGGAATAACAGATGACAAAGAGGAGTGCTTCTTTTGACCTAAATTTCCTTGAATACAAGTGTCTGTAGTTTACACTGGGTTTTCCTTTTATTTATAATAACAAATGAATAAAATTACACAAGAAGGATGTAATGTTTTGAAATAATCCTATTCAATCACAAAACTGACTCAACAATATTTTGCAAGCCTACAACATACAAGACAATCTGCTGGACTGTTTATTAGGAGCATGCAACATTCCATGCCTTTACAAATTATTTGTGTACCAAGAGGCTTGACATTCTGGGTTATCTATGAAAATGTGTAGTTCCAGATGGATTTATGTCTAATGAGCCTTTGAAAAAAATAACTATGACATCATCTATTTTTTAATAAGAAATTTAAATAGCACCAAAAATACCTTAAAGATTTTAATCCAGTGCCTACAGGGCTCACACCATGCAGTCCTCACAAACTTCCTCAAATATAGATATTTTCACTGTTCACAAATTCTGTTCACTTAAAAATAAAGAAGTATTGGGGCTGGCACTGTGGTGTAGTGGGTGAAGCTGCCGCCTACAGTGCCAGCATCCCATTTGGATGCCAGTTCAAGTCCCAGCTGCTCCACTTCCAATCCAGCTCAGTGCTATGGCCTGGGTAAGCAGTAGAAAATGGCCCAAGGCCTTGGGCCCCAGCACCCATGTGCGAGACCTGGAAAAAGCTCCTGGCTCCTGGCTTCTGATCAGTGCAGCTTTGGCTGTTGCAGCCATCTGGGGAATGAACCAGCAAATGGAAGACCTTTCTCTCTGCTTCTGCTTCTCTGTAACTTTGCCTTTCAAATAAATAAATACATCTTTAAATTAAAAATAAAGGTGTACATGTTTGCTGAGATTTAAAATTCTATTTCCTATTTTTTAAACATAGCATATGATATAGGCCCCAGCTTTCTTAGATAAAGTCACTGAAGCCTAGGAGCATTTCACAGAATTTTTTTTAACAATGGTAGCCTTTGACAAAGGCCTCCAGAATCTTAGAACTAGATATTATTTAGTAACTAAAAGTGATGACAGAAACTATTTGGACAGAAATGGAAATACTTGTAGGATTTGGCTAAAATTTTTGGTAAGATGATATATAGATGTTTAAAATTTGTGTAAATGGGTGGATGGGTTGGATTTTAAAACTGGAGGATAAATTTTCCATTTTAGACTCGGTTCAATTAGCTGCTGAGTTGTAACATTAAAAAACAAAATTAATGGTAACAAATATTTAATTATACTATTTGAATTGGGTAGGAAAAGAAAAACATACCATTACCTACCTGTGAAGTAATTGCCAGGAAATCTAACAAAGAGTTATGATTCTGCCAATCATTTCTGGGAAAAACTACTTTTCAGAATATAAGCTAGATTATATTTCTAATTTTTAATGGAGACTTCTGTGAGGGTTAGAGATGCTCTTATATTTCTACTTTCACAGAATCTCATCCTTTTCTAAATATGAAAATAAAATGGAAGTGGTTTTGCCTTAACTTTTTTTTTTACCCAATAGGATTCTTATGGTAAAAATAACTGGGAAAATGATAGCTCTAACATGTGTTTATCATAAATATAGTTTAAGTGAAATATGAATAACTCTTTCTAATGTTTTGTTGTCCCTAAAATAGTTTATTATATTCCATTTTGATCATTCACTATTATTGAATTTATAATAAAAAATCGGAGACTCTGGAATAAAGTGGGAGTTTGCTGCTATTAGTCTTTCTTGCATTCCCAAAGTTATAGGTAGTGCTATATTTTTTAACTATGTTTCACATATGCTCTGTAAAGAGTAGAAGGTATGAACGAAGCTTTACAGAGAATATGAGGCCAATAAATCAGGAAACGATTCTAATAATTAGAAAATATAATTGAAAGTAAGGCATGATGATGATGATGATGATGACGAAAGACAGTGACAGAGAGAGAGAGATCGTCTATCTGCTGGTTCATTCCCCAAATGCCAGTAGCAGCTGGGGCTGGGCCAGGTCTAAAGCAGGAGCCAGGAACTCCGCCTGGGTCTCCCACATGAATGGCAGGGACCCAGCTACTTATCTGCTGCCTCCCGGGTGCCCATTAGCAGGAACCTGGATTAGAAGGGTAGGAAAGGACTCAATCCCAGACACTCAGAAAACAGATGCAGAGATTCCAAGAAGCAGAATAAGTAGTTGTACCACAACACCCACCACCCGGCATTATTATTGACATATGAGACAGAGAACAATATATAACAGAGAACCCAATAACAATTGGATTATTTACTTGGGTATTTATCAACACAAAATAACTGAAATTAACAGAATTACAAATCACCAGATTATTCCTAAGAGATAGTTGCTCCTAAAAGATCCTTTTAAAATGTTTATGAAAAATATTGAGAAACTTGAATCAATACCTTGTAACTACTTGTTAAAAGGGCGATTTATACTATTTTTAAAAGATTTATTTATTTATTTGAAGGCAGAGTTACAGAGAGGCAGAGGCAGGCGGGGGGGGGGGGGAGGGAAGCAGGGAAGGAGAGAGAGAGAGAGAGAGAGAGTCTTCCATCTGCTGGTTCACTCCCCAGGTGGCCAAAATGGTCAGAGCTGAACCGATCTGAGGCCAGGAGCCAGGAGCCAGGAGCTTCTTCTAGGTCTCCCACTTGGGTGCAGGGGCCCAAGGATTTGGGCTATCTTTTACTGCTTTCCCAGCCCATAGCAGAGAGCTAGATTGGAAGTGGAGCAGCCAAGGTTTGATCTGGCACCCATATGGGATGCCGACATTGCAGACGGCGGCTTTACCCGCTATGCCACAGTGCTGGCCCCCAATTTATATTATTTTTAAGATTTCTGGTGTTGGGGCTTGTGGTGTGGGATCATGCTAGCAACGCTGGCATCCCGTAAGAACGCTGGTTCATGTCCCAGCTGCTCTACTTCCAATCCAGCTCCCTGCTAATGGCCTGCAAAAAGCAGTGGAAGATGGCCCAAGTGTTTAGGCCCCTGCACCCATATGGGAGCCCCAGAGGAAGCTTCTGGATTTTGGCTTCCACCTGGTCCAGCCCTGGCACTTGAGCCTATTTGGGGAGTGAACCAGCAGATGGAAGATATCTATCTCTCCCTCTCTCTTTCAAACAAATAAACCTTTAAAAATTTTTGATGTTTATAACCATAATCCTACAATTGATGTTTTCTTATATTTGAATAGATTAAAATCCCAATGCCAGTGTCTTGTTTGTACCATTAATGTCTTATTACTGTTACTTGATTATTCGAGTGAATTTTTTTCTAAGAATTTTGTAAGAAGGGTTCTTGAGTATTGCATTTAAAAAAGATTTCTTTTGAAAATCAGAGTTAGAGGAGAGAGATTTTTCATCCACTCGTTCACTGCTCAGATGGCCGCGATGGCCGAAGGAGCTTCATCCAGGTCCGCCACGTGGGTATGGGGGCTCAAAGCACTTGGGCCAACTTCCACTGCCCTTCCCAGGCGCATCAGTAAGGAGCTGGATCGGAAGTGGAGCAGCCAGAACTTCAACAGCGGCCCACATGGAATATGGCATTGCAGGCGGGCAGCTCTACTCACTGTGCCACACGCCGGCCTTGAATATTGCAATTTTTTTGAGTTTTTGCAGGTTTGATACTATCAAGCTCTGGCTGTTATAAACACCAGTTCGGTTGTTTATAACATGTTGGGTGATGTTTTTGCTTTCAGCTACTGATTTAACGTTACCAGACTGTCTGTTGGTGTTAAGGGACCCCTGTCGATCTTTCCCGCTGAGGGCTGCCACCTGGTTACCTGCAGCCTCCTTCCCCACAGACTCGTTCCCTTCGGGAGGCACACTTGTCTTGTCAACTCTGTGCTTGGGTGACCTCACTATGCTGTTTCTCAGTCCTGTGGCTGCCTCCGGCAAGTGAGAGGCCCTACTGTCCGGCTCCCCACCCTGTCATTTGGGGCTCCTATCCCAGCAGCGGGGTGAGCCTTCCGCACGCACACTCCGGGGGCCATTCCGTCCTTTCCCCTCCCCCTACCACACTTGGCACCCGAAGTTACAGCTTAGGACCCTCGCCTGGGTAGAAGCGGGAGCACCCAGGGCTGGAACGCCCAATTTACACCCCGGTAACTACCGGATAAGTAGCCTGTAACTAGGGGACGCCTAGATTTGACGCCGGTGGAAGGCTCTGATGAGGCGAACGGCGTCTTCAAGGACTACTAATCCTAAACCGGATGGCAACGCAGCTTAAGGAAGCCTAAAGGTGTGCGAGCGGAGAAGCCTGAACGCTTCTGCTGAATTCCTAGCGACACCGTCATAATGCAGGCGGCAGGTGTCCAGGGGAGGCCGGCGCCCGTTGTAGGGGCACCACGGCCTCCCTCCTGGTGTCAAGGGCTCAGTCCTTTTTCCGTTTCCGCATTTATGACTTCGCTGTCACCCTCGCCCCCTAACTGAGAAAGAAAATCGAAGTGTCCTTCAAAGCTGCAGCGTCCGGCGCGACGCGACCGCAACGGAAAAGCGGCGGGGGAGCTGCGCTGCCTGGGGCTAATTGTGCGCATGCTCCGCACGCACGCGGTGGGTGGGGCTTGCAGTCGTGTTGCGCCTGCGCTCTGCGCCGGCGCTGGGCCTGCCCATCGGCCTCTGCGCCTGTAAGTCAGTCCCGGGGTCCTCGGAGCGATGGTGCAGCGGTGCCAGGTAAGGGTGGGGCGTGCAGGCGAGCGCGGGTGCGGATCCTTCTTGGTCGGGTCTGCGCCGCTCTCCCTCCGCAGGCGGGGCAGTGGGCCCTCAGACTTTGTCTCCCCGAACCCCTGCACCGCGCGCCCGCCCGCCCGCCGTGGCCGGCGCCTTCAGCCCCGGCCGCCGTGATGGCCCCTGCTGACCTTGGGGCTCTGCCCTGTCCGCCCCTAGCAAGTCAAGTTCATTCCGGGACATTTCGTGTCGGGGTCACCGAGTCGAGGGCCGGCTGGTTTCCGAAAGTGCTTTGACTTCTTTTTTGGGGGGGCTCCCTTTTCTCAAATTAGTTGTTTGAAGATATAATTGTATTTTTAAAAACTTACTTAAGAATGCTTGTAAATAAATGTGCTTCACCTGTGGACTTACCGAAACCCTTGATTACCCACCAAACTGCGATTATTTCGTGGAGGGTGAGTTGTTCGAGTGGCAGGTGGGCTCTTTTGCTGGGTTGGGTCCCTAAGATACGACATCGATGGCACAGGTTTGCCCTGGGAAATACCAGTTTATCCTGTATTTCAAACCTACTTGCTTGTATCAGTGTCAGGTTTTGTGTATTGCATAACTCAGACCTCAGCGGCTGTCATGTAGACGGGAGGGAATCAAAGGTTATTTGAAAACCCGGAAAGCAGTTCTTTTGCTGACTTGGTCATTTATTGGATTAATTCTCTCTTGAGCCACATGATCACTGCTTCAGTGTTTATGAAAACTGTGTAACATTTGTTAAAGTGTTTTCTAGAAGATACACCTGAGGTTGCAGTTAAGGCACACATAAGTTTGTAAATCTGAAAAGCATCCAGAAATCAGTTTGAATTGTTCTTAAAGACTTTTTTTCCCAAGATTGTAATTTGAGTATGTACTGAATGGAGGGGAGCAACTTGATTTTCTCTAGGCTATAATATCTGTCTTTAATTAAAATAGTGCATTTGAAAAATAAGAAAATGTCTCAGTGTGGGCAGTCATGAAGTGACTGTTCCTGTTTCTGTCCTTCCAGGTTGAAGTATTGTATTTCGCAAAGAGTGCTGAAATCGCAGGAGTTCGTTCAGAGACCATTTCTGTGCCCCAAGAAATAAAAGCATCGCAGCTGTGGAAAGAGATAGAAACTCGACATCCTGGGTAGCTAAAATTTTGTAGCATATGATTAATGATTTTAATATTTTGAAAATGTCTTCAAAAACTTAATAAAAGTTAATTTTTGTTTGCTTAATGTCAAAAAGAGTGTGTACATGTTTCTGGAATAGAAATGTGTAAGATTAAAAGAAAAATAAGCTAAAGCAAACCCTGGATGCTGCTAGATTTGAGTTTTGACAATATTTCATTTTTTTCTAATTCTTTAAAAGCTATGGTTTTACTGCTGTCATTCCTACTTCAAGTCCTTTTTGAAACAAAACATAAAAGTGACTTATTTGAGAGTGTTAGGGAATATTAGTGTTGTGTAAGTCTGTGTTGGATGTTTAACCTTGAAACCCTAGTGCTGTGTAAACGGTATTTCACAATGTGTGTTGGAAAGGAACCTATGAGTACTCCTGGATTGCATGTTTTGTTTTTTGTTTTGTTTTTGTTTTTGTTTTTGTTTTTTTTTTTTTGACAGGCAAAGTGGACAGTGAGAGACAGAAAGTTCTTCCTTTTTGCTGTTGGTTCACCGTCCAGTGGCCGCTGCGGCCGGTGCGCTGCGGCCAGCGCACCGTGCTGATCCGAAGCCAGGAGCCAGGTGCTTCTCCTGGTCTCCCATGCGGGTGCAGGGCCCAAGCACTTGGGCCATCCTCCACTGCACTCCTGGGCCACAGCAGAGAGCTGGCCTAGAAGAGGGGCAACCCGGACAGAATCCGGCACCCCGACTGGGACTAGAACCCGGTGTGCCGGCGCCGCAGGCGGAGGATTAGCCTAGTGAGCCACGGTGCCGGCCGGATTCCATGTATTTTTAAAATTATTTATTTGAAAGGCAGAGACAGTCTCCTGTCAGCTGGTTCACTCCTCAGATGCCCACAGGAACCAGCACTGGGACAGGCTGAAGCCAGGAGCCAAGAAATCAATCGGGGTCTCCCACCTAGGTGGCAGGGACCCAAACACTTAGGCCATCACCTGCTTCCTTCCATGGTTCACCCTAGCAGGAAGCTGCGATGTGAGTGGAGCTGGCAGACGGGCTGAGCTGCCACAGTTTCATCTTTTGTTCTTAGAGTACCTGGTGATGAAACATGGTGGGGCTTCTGTTCAATTTTACCTTTAACCTACCCTCAGGGAGACAACTGCTACTGCAGGAAACTTCCTAGCTCTGCTTAGTGTGGTTGTATACTTAGATGGACGATCCCTGAAAAGACAGGGTAGTGATTAAGAAATTTTTCTTTACTTTTGATCTGATTGGAATGTTGCTTCCAGTCTTGTGTTTGTTGCTATTTTCATTCCCCAAGATACACAACATGCGATGAAGAGATGTTAATGGTTGAATGTGATCTTTGCAGTGAATGGGTACGTTCTTAAGTGGGTATGTCTTTTATCCAAATGTGAAGAGATTTGATGTGGATCACAGTGTGGATACCGCTCATCTTTTTTTTTTTTTTTTTTTCCTTCAGATTGGCTGATGTTAGAAATCAGGTGATATTTGCTGTTCGTCAAGAATATGTCGAGCTTGGAGATCAGCTCCTCCAGCTTCAGCCCGGAGACGAAATTGCTATTATCCCCCCCATTAGTGGAGGCTAGTGCATTTAAGCCATGTAGGTATGTGTGATTTGTCTCTTTCAGTCTTGTGCAGAAGAATACATAGATTATAAGCTCTGTTTGTTTTGCTGTTACCGTGTATTCTTAACGAATGGGCTTATCCCAGCTTCTTGATTGATGTGTCGACTCTGGGTGCAGGCAGACATGATACCTTCCTACCACGTCTGAGTCCATTTTGTTCTAAGCAGTTTAACTTAATAGCAGTTTGTTACAGCTGATGTGAATCTGGGGAACTTATTCTGTTGATAAGAACTTTGAAGCTGGTGAACAAACCAGAAGGCGAAGTTTGGGGCTGAGGAACAAACGAGAAAGCAAATTTTTAAAGCAAAGTTTCATTGAAGTGAACAGAGACAGCTCTTGCCGCCATGTGGCTTAGCAAGAGGGAGCTTTTAAAACAGAAAGGCCTTATTGAGAAGAACTGAGAGAAGACTGCTGGGAAGCTGCACATGGTTTTTCTCAGGAAACAAACACACATACAGGCTATTGAAAGAAAGTGATCTGGTGGTTCTATGCCCTCTGCAAAATTTGTGTAAGGTCCTTTAAGGGAGTGAGCTCATTCTGCCTCCTTGTCTGCCATTCGTCAGTCTGTGGTCCTTCGTGTTCTCTGTGGGTTAGCCAGTCTCCCCTACCTTGCTCTTCATGGTCTTGTGTTCCCTAATTTAGAATCACAGGTTTTTCTCTTATTCTGTTAATTTGTAGTCTCCAGACTTTTGCTTTGTAAGTTCCCCATTTAGTTTTTGCAAAGCATATCTTAAGGGCATGCTTTTGTGTTGTTTACTAACCAGAAGCTGCTCTTCTGACCCTGGAGCACCCCCCACCACCACCACCCATACTTGGCTGTCTGCCCAAGTCTAACCTAACCTAGCTCGCTTTGTCCTGCCTATACCAAGTTTGATTTGTCCGTTGTTTTCACTTGACATTGTTTATTAAGATTTTATTTGTCAGGCACAGTGCTAGGCTGTGGAATATTAATATCCATATATTTCAAGTAGGAAAACTGAAAATCAGAGAAGTTACAGTTGCCTTTGAACACATAGCTAGAAAGCATAGAGCCAACATTTGAACTTGAGCTCATTGTTGGGCTCTCTGTACTTTCAGACAGACATGTTCATGAATAGTAAGCAATAGCTTTTTTAAGCACTGAAAACTATAGAAAAACTGCACAGGTAGAAAGTCTGAGAAATTTAACCAATGTCCTGATATAAAATAATAACTATAGCTCTGTTGCAGATAGCTATATGAACTGTGCCATCTTTTCAGGCAAATTAATCCATATCTGAGTAGGATAGTGGGTAGAAACATTATCCAGTGTGGTCTGGAGAGATCTTGCTTTACTTAAGTACTTAAATAGAGATGTCAACTGAAGAATAAGTAATGTAGGAATTAATAGTCATTTGTGATTAAAAACTAGTAAATTAGGAATGAAAGAAAACTGAAATAGTTTTTATCCAAAATGAAAGTAAACAGCATAGTCAATAGCAGAACCTCGATTCCATTAAAGAAAGGAATAAGCCAGGATTCTTTTTACTTTTTTTTTCACCCATTTCCCCCTCACACTACTAAAGGGCAATGAAAAATGAAGAATTGACATACAAAGTTACCCAACATGTCAGCGCTTAGGGATCTTTCTCAGGACCTGCTGTCTGGAAATAATAGAATTCCTTGCAGATATGTATCACAGCTTTGGGGGGAATTTATTAAAAACACAGCGAGCTGTTATTAAAGGGGCGGGTATGTCTGATGATTACAGCTGTTCTTTGGGAAGATTAGAAAGACTACTCAGCAGCAGTGTCTGTTGATTGTGTTTGACAGGGTTTGTGTTACGGGATCTTAGAACCAGCCAGCTTAGTTTTCATTGTAGAACCAGAAGTCATGGAAGCTCAAGAGGGTTTAAAGCTTGCAGGGTTACCTATATCTTGCTTCAGGGAAAAAGCTCAGGTGGCACGGATGCACAGTAGGTGGAAAGTCGTGGTGTCTGTGAAGAATGGTGCTTTCCTTTTCAGTAGTTGGAAGGAAGTAGGGACTAGAACATTGGATCTGTTTAGAATTCTTTATTGGAATTTCAGCATCTTGAGCGAGTCCTTGACTTCTCTGAGCCCTTTTTTTCTCATTTTAATTTTTTTTTAAAGATTTTATTTACTTGAAAGGTAAAGTTATAGACAGAGGGAGAGACAGAAAGGTCTTCCTTCTGTTGGTTCACTCCCCAGATGGCCGTAACAGCTGGAGCTGTGCCGATCCGAAGCCAGGAGCCAGGTGCTTCTTCCTGGTCTCCCCCGTGGCAGGGGCCCAAGGACTTTGACCATCTTCTGCCTTCCCAGGCCACAGCAGAGAGCTGGATTGGAAGAGGAGCAGCCAGGACTAGAACTGGTGCCCAGGTGGAGGATTAACCTACTGTGCCACGGCACCGGCCCAGAGCCTGTGCTCTTGATGCTTGGTCTGTGTCTAGAGTCTGGGATTAGTCTCTGGCCCTTAGTGAGTATGTAATAATAGCCCTTGGTGAGTGTGTAATGATGTCTAATGAGTTGAGAAATGCATGGCAAAGGACTTTGCATAACCCCTGGTGAATATTATTATTTCCTGAGTTAGCTGGGATTGGGCCAGGCTTTGAAAGGAACTTAGTTCCAGTAGAATCACTTTCACCTCTGTTTTCTTCCTTTCCTTTTTGGATAAAGGAAAGGCACTGTGGGGGTGGTGTCTAGTAACAGTGATTAGAAGTGATATCATATAGATGAAGAAGGTGCTTGCACAGCTGTATCATGATGGGAGATATGAGTGGCAATTACAGAATCGAATAAACTGGCATTTGAGAAGATTACAGTTTAGTGATCATGTCAGTGGCAAATTTCTTTTTATTTCATACCTGATTCATTAGGGATATTTATAAATATATTGAGCTTTGTTAAAATTCTATACTGATTTTTATCATTCAGAATAATCATGCCTCCTAACACATCTGATGTACAAAAAATGTAGATTGAAACAGCTTAGAAGTTGAATGTTTTGCCCTAGTGTTAACATTAATTAATGTTAACATTTATTAAAATCTTATTTTTAGGAAAGATATGGATGATGTTGAAGAGAAACCTAAGGATATAATAAAATTCACGGCTGAGAAACTTTCTGTGGATGAGGTCTCGCAGTTGGTGATTTCTCCACCCTGTGGTGCAGTGTCCCTATTTGTAGGTGAGTTGTAATTTTCATAGCATCAATTGGCTCCACTGGATGGTAGAAATGAGCAGGTGCTTCTCATGTTCAGTGTTGATAGAGGTTTGACCATCAGTAAATCTCCATTGCTCATGAAAGCGAGTAGAATTTTTTTTAGTTTTGTTTTCGTAACTTTCAAATTAACCATTGTTAAATCAGAAGTATAAAGAGTAGGATAAGTCATGGCTAGCAGAGAGAATTCTGGTATTTTCCAAATTTTAAGGGAAAAATATACATAATGATAGTCCTTAATTTTTCTTTAAGTATCAGATGCAACTGTTGGAAAAGGGACTATTTGTCACCTGAATGTTTTCAGTAATCTTGATCTGTTATTTTATTTCCTTTTCATCTTTGGGATAATTATCCTTTGCTTTTCTAATCAAGTTTCTTGAAGTAATTTTTAAATAGGTAGGCTATTTGTTTGCTCTTAAAAACGGATCCAACCTTATATAATTACGTTTTTGTTTTTAGGGACTACAAGAAATAACTTTGAAGGGAAGAAAGTCATTAGCTTAGAATATGAAGCTTACCTACCAATGGCGGAAAACGAGGTCAGAAAAATCTGTAGTGACATCAGGCAGAAATGGCCAGTCACACACATAGCAGTGTTCCATCGACTTGGGTATGCTTTCCTTTAACAATTTAGAAGTGAAGGACACTTGCTTTCCAGCTTTGTCCTAATGCCTATCAGAATTCTGACTCGAATCTTTCTTGGGAATTCTGTGTCACCATGAGAGGGAGGTTTGTGAATGGTTTCTGAAGGACAGCAGTGATGGCTCCCAGTGCCTCTCATGACTGCTGGTTGGGTTGTAATTTGGGGAGTGCTCCTATTTCCTTGGGTGCTGTAACACAATGCAGATGTGCCAAGACTTTCAGGCCCTGGGCATTAGGGCTTGTGTGAACCTGAGCCAAAGTCAAAGTCATTGAGTCCTGCCTTTTGAGTTTTGTATTCTTGACTCTGTTTACAGTCTGTTACAGATTATTTTTGGTGTAAATGCTTTGAAAGTCATTAAAATACTTTGCCTTTTTGTACCATCAAAAAGAATAGAGTTCTTGGTTTTAAAAAGAAGTGAGCAATTGAGACTACATCTATCATGTTGTATTATTATTTGTTCATTAGTAATTTTATTAACCAGTAATTTTATAAATGGCTAATGTTATCTGGCCTATTAATGTTTATTTTATATTCTAAATTATATTTTATATAATTTATATATAATTATTTATAATTTATATATATTATTTTATATTCTAAATTGCCATTTTTTTTTTGACTTTGTATCTCTAGGTATTCCTTAGCATTCTTCCTGGTTTGAATCAGTTGTTTGTGGAGTCAGTGAAAAGTTGTTTTCTTCTTGGTGCCCATCAAGCAGCTTTTGTGGATAGATGCTTAAAATTGCTGCAATATCAACCCAGTGTCTATTTTCCTGACTGCAACTGGGATGAAGTAGTGTTTTCTAACTAAATTGGATTTTTAAGTAAATTATAGTTCTAAGAATGTCAATGGATTTTTTTTTCATGTGTCTAGCATATTTTTTAACACATAGATTCAGGGGTGATGATGTCTTTCTTCATCTTGTTAAAGCTTAGTTCCGGTGTCAGAAGCAAGCATAATCATTGCTGTGTCCTCAGCCCACAGGGCTGCATCCCTTGAAGCTGTGAGCTATGCCATTGATAATTTAAAAGCCAGGGTGCCCATATGGAAAAAGGTAAGTTCAGAAAATACCTCCTTTTGCTATATGCACTTGATTTGATTCTCAAGTATTCTTAATATGATATCTACAAAGTTAGAGTACTCTTAGAATTTTGTTTGTGTGCATTCCCTGACTGTAGAATCTTGGTTTCTTTATGTGTGAAATAGGATATTTATAGCATATCTCCTTTGTCAGGTTTAAGCAGGGAAAATGCATGCCCCAAGGAATGCATGGCCCAGTGAACCTCAATAAATGAAAACAAATTTCTAGTCAGGACTCTTCCAGTGGTTTGTATATGAAGTCATTTCTCTCTCTCTCTTTTTTTTTTTTTTAAAGATTTATTTATTTATTTGAAAGTTACACAGAGAGAGACGTAGAGGCAGAGAGAGAGAGAGAGAGAGATCTTCCATCTGCTGGTTCACTTCTCAGTTGGCTGTAACGGCCAGAGCTGCACTGATCAGGAGCCGGGAGCCTCTTCCAGGCCTCCCACGTGGGTGCAGTGTCCCAAGGACTTGGACCATCTTCTGCTTTCCCAGGCCATAGCAGGGAGCTGGATTGGAAGTGGAGTAGCCGGGTCTCGAACCAATGCAGGCTGCAGTTTTACCCGCTGTGCCACAGCGCTGGCCCCTGAAGTCATTTCTCTTGAATTTGAACTTCCTTGAATTAGAGACTTTCTATTAGAGAGTTTTGTAAAGTCTTGCTGTGCCAGCAGTAGCTAGAATTGAAATTCAAGGAAAAGGAATCTTTTCTTGGAAGTCTTTTATTTTTGCTGCCTTTGATAAAATACATAGTTGAGTGACTTTAATAACATTAATAGGAAATGCTGGTTTGTTTTCTGTCAATGAATCCAACTAAACAACAGCAAGTAATTCTCTGGTTAAATAGGGCATTCCAAAGGGAAGAAAAGGACCAACTCGCAGATTTCTCCCCTGGTGTAGTAACCGGAATAATAGGATTGTTCTGTATTTGCAAATGTATGTAATTACACTTCTTGGTCCAGAATTGCCCCCTGCCTGTGGCTGATAGCAAAGCTGAAGAATTAATGAACAACTCAGAAGAGGAGGGCAGAGGGCCAGATTTATAAAGGCTGGGTCTCCTCTCCTTCCCAGGAGCTTCCACCTCAGTCAGTGGATGAGGTGAGCAAGTGCACCTCTGAACCGGAGCCTGGGAAATCTAGGGACCACATTTTCTGAATGAAAGCTGAAACTGGTAGTTACAAGGGAATACTTTGGATAGGATAAGTCAGAAGACTCTACCTGAGCTCAGATACCGGGTGGTTTTGCTGTGAACATTCTGACCCGAGTTTTTCTGGTAGGCCATGCTGTGGGCCCTAGAAGAGGGAGAGTTAGGAAGAGCATTCCAAAATGAGCTTCAAGCCAAGGCAGCAAGAATAGCTGTTTCTACTTGTCTTTACCAGAAAGAGAGCAGATGGGGGGTGGCCCCAGAAAACAAGGGAAACAGATAGGAGCTGGGGCAGGTGCTCAGTTTTGGCTCTGAGTAGTGCAGGGACTTGGCTTTTCTCTGTAGAGTTGGGGGAAGTGCAGGTGTTCTGAGGCACATGTCCGTGAGAATCAGGAGCAGAAAGGGAACTAACCTTACCAAGTAGAACAAACACCACCACTGACTGTCTCAGATGGAGATGGGAGGCATTTCAGACCAAGAATTCAAAATGACTGCTTGGAGGAATCTCAGAGGATTGAGAGAACAGAGAAAATCAATTTGAGGAATTTTCAGAGAAATTTAACAAAGAGATTGAAACACTTCTTTAAAAATCTGACTGAAATTGTTGTGCTGAAAACTGCAGTGAATGAACTTAGACATTTGGCTTTGGGTTCCTCACCCTACAGGAAGGCAATCTCGCTACTGAGTGGGAAGAGAAACCAATAGGATCTTCTTACTTCCTTCTGTGAACTATCTAAAATCCTGCACTGGTTCATGTCCCAGCCTGTGCTTTGAGATCATCTGTGACATAGGGAAGGCTGCCTGGTTCACATCAGTAGCCAGGTCACACCTCTTTTAGAACTTCTGCAGATGGACATTTAAGTTAACAACTAATGGGAATGTCCCCTCTTCCTTTGGCAAAATATATTTTGTGTCATTGGAATTGTAGTAGGCATGTTGTTAAGGAAACAGTGTTTAAAGACTTTCATCATCTACATAATCTGGCCAACAGTGTCTTGTCATGGCCCCAGATGGAATTAGGTATGTATTCCCTTCAGTGCTGTGGTTTCTTGTCATTTCTCCAATAGATTGTGTCTGTCAATGAGGGGAGCATGTCAGTTTCTCTCTCTGCTCTCAGTGGCCTATATAAATGGTTATTGGATTGTGGAGAGAGGGGCTTATTGAAATAGATATGAGATTCATTTATTTGATTTATACACTTAATGGTTTTGTGTTTTTTTGTTTGTTTGTTTGTTTTTTTTAGGAAATGTATGAAGAGTCATCTTCAACTTGGAAGAGAAACAAAGAATGCTTTTGGGCAAACAATGATTAATCAGTTATATTTTTTAACGCTCTCACACTTGGGTAAAGTTTCACCATTGATTACTCTGTGATTTTTCTCCTCCACAGATTGATAGCTCACCGAAGCACAGAGTTTTATAACTGTGGGGCAAAAGAGAGAAAAAGCTAAAAAAGTGTATTTAGGATGAAGGGTTACTGGGAGCTAGAGCCAAAGCAAGGACTTTTGGGAAGATGAGCAGTAGTGGAAATAAGAGGGAAGGCGTCCGTGGAGGACGTCTTTCTGTGACTAAGCCTAGTTGTGACTCCGCTTACACTGAGGCCTGGCACCTGCTCACCAACCTCCCCTCAGACACGGCCTCCCCTTCAGCCTCCTGTCCTGATACGTATTTTTAGCACTTAATATATTTTTTAAAATAAGCCGATAATTTTAAAAGTACAAATTTTCCCATTTTTAAAAATTCAGTGATAATGCCTAAAATATTTCATATTCTAGAGAATTCTAGTAATTTAGAATCTTTAATCTTGACCATAATACTTGTTGCATTTTATGGTTACTAATATTGTATCAATGTACAAATCAGCATGAAATTGTTGTAAAACTACCATCAACGTGTTTTATGTTGAAATATTAGTTGATGTCTAAAATTTGACTTCCAGAAATTGTTTTAAGGAGAATAATATAAGGGAGATTATATGTTTATTAAAGCACTTTCAGATAGTTTACTTTCTGGTTGCTTTTGCATCATGATCCTTATTGAAGTTATTGGTAAACAATTCTCTGCAAGATTTTTATGAAAGAGTAATCTAGTTTTTTACTGATCAACCTATATATTGTTAATTTGTATATACAAGTCCCATATATTATATTTTTTCCAATTCTTTTCAGCTTTATTGGAAGATAATAAAGATTGTATATATTTAAGTATACAGTGTTATATTTTGATACATGAATATATTGTGAAATGATTACCACAACTCACCTAATTAACAAACCCATTGCCTTACAAGGCTGTGTCTCTTTTGAGGTGAGAATACTTAATTAGCTCTATTCTTTTAGAGCAGAATTTGAAGTATACATATATACTTTTTAAAATAATTGGCATAATTTGAGTAGTTAGTATTATTACAAAACTATCATTACATGTATTATGATACTTAGACTGAAGGGTTTTTTCTTGTTTCTGCAGCAGATAAGAAATCTAGTAATCCTTATATCTGGTGGGATATATACTTATATCTGGTGGGAGCACATTTTTATCTAAGGAACTCGTGTATTCAACGGCTGTTTATTGAATGGCCATTCTATGCCAGGTATCCACCCAGTGATCTTTGTCTACAACCCTTAAGTACCAGGAAGAAGATCCTGCACCTTGTCTCTGGCTGAGACCCACAGGTCAGCCACATGGACTTTAGGAATCTCTTGGTTACTTGGTACTTACTCCTTGTGGGCCAGAAGGATTCAAACCCTCCACTTATTTCCATTACTGAGGTAGGGTTGCCTGCCTGTTCTCAGCCTTACCCTCTCTACTCGATAGCCCCTCCTTTTCACTGGCCAGAAACCAGTTTCTACTAGGGATGAGGGATTGGGTGTTGGACAATTGCAGTGTATCTGAAAGTTCATTATCACACAGTGAGTGGACCAATGAAGATAGTCCTAGGATTCTATACCGAAATTGTGAATGAATGTGATGTGTGTGTTACATTATATATAATACTAATATAAAGTATATGTGGAATTCAGGAATTTTCTACTCAAATACTTCTTAAAAGGTCGTTATTGGAGATAATTGTTTCTATACCACACGTTGTTTGAACATGTTTTTATAGTCATGCCTTCAATTAAGTGCCTTTATTCTATGTTTGGAGCCCAGATTGTTATGCTTTAACTTCTTACCTTCTGCATCAGAGATTTAAAAGCGTAATCTGGGGCATGCTAGAACTGGATGGCACATCCTTGAAAGGTTTTAGTGCATTGCACTAGATTTAAATAGGATCTTCATTAATCCTTGCAATTTTAGGAATGGCAGATTTAATTGGTGGTTGAGATATTAAGGGCTAGCATCACTCTGACATTTAGCCTTTTTATATATGTAACTTGGCTGCTCAGGTACTTAGAAGAGCAACCTGAAGACAGGCAAAGTCAGCCTGGAAGCAGATTGCATCAAGGGTTGCAGGGTAAGTTCATTCAAGAAGCAGGATGTGTAAGTTATTTTTGTTGCAGGTGTTTTTGAATGGGTGGTGAAACGAAAAGGATTTTATCAATTTTGAATGAAAACAACAGCAGATGGTTATAAGTGAAGTAGTCTCTGGATAGTTTTGTCTTTTGGGTGTGGCATTTAGGGTTGCCATACAGTTTCAGTATTATCTGAGAAATAGTGATTAAGGCTGGACTTGAATGAACCTGTTGGAGGATTAGAAAATGGAATCCTGGGTGTATTTTGAATTCAACCAGTTTTTCCTTACCTCACTTTTCGTTCCATTGTCGAATCCTCCAGTTCATTTCTTGAGAACTATTGCCCTGGCCCACTGATCATCCTAGTGTGCTAACCTTTCCTCTCCACTTAACCCTGCTACTCAGAACCTTCTCATAGCTGGTCACATCGAGGACCTCAGCCTGCTCACTGGCCTACTGTCCTACACACAGAGACTCCTGCCGTTTCCTGTCTTGCTCCAGGCTCCCACTTTGCTGTGGCTTGTATGTGGCAAATTAGTTTCCACCTAGGGTCTTTACCCATCCCTTTTAGATTGTTCTTCCTCCAGATACTTCCATAGTCCTCACTTAATTTCCTTCACTTCAGTCATTTCCTGTTTTATTCACTATTACTTGGTGTATCACATCTGCTAGTTTATTGCCATCACTAGACCATAGACTTCATGAGATGGGGACTCTGCCTGTCACTACAGTGCCTCACCAGTGCATGAGCTTATAGTACTCTGAAATAATTGAATACCAGTGTTCTATACCTGATGCATGTGTAATTGTAGCACTGACAGATGTGAGATGCTATCTGTGCAGCTTTGCTCCCCCACTCCCACCCTGTGACCTCTTAAAACTACTGAGCATCCTGTACATTAAAACTCACCTTTGGGGCCAGTGCTGTGGCACGGCAGGCAGGTTAACACGCTGGCCTGAAGCGCCAGCATCCCATGTGGGCACTGGTTTGAGACCCAGCTGCTCCACTTCCAATCCAGCTCTCCACTATGGGCTGGGAAAGCAGTACAAGATGGCCCAAGTCTTTGGGCCTCTGCACCCACATGGGAGATCCAGAGAAGCTCCTGGCTTCGGGTCGGTGCAGCTCCGGCCATTGCGGCCATCTGGGGAGTGAACCATCAAATGGAAGACCTCTCTCTGCAACTCTTTCAAAAAAAAAAAAAAAAAAAAAAAAGAGGAAGCTTTTATGTAGTTAGATGAATCACCCAGCAGAGGGCGGTATAGACAGGGATACACTATAGAGACTAGACCCAAAAAACAGTTTGGTAGCCATTTTCATTAAAGTAGGGCCCTGCTTTAATATTAAATGATAGCATGAGGGAGGCATTTTTAAATGGTTTTACTTTTTAACAGGTACTTTGGAATAAAAATTCAATACAAAATTGCAAATTAACAGAAAAGGGTAGTTTTATTGCAGGTCTTCTCTGCTGTGAAAAGCAGCAGCACTGTTCTGTTTTCTCCAGCGTTGCACTTGAGGGTGAGACGTATCCCAGACATTGCTGAAAACAGTTCTGCAGTAAGCTGACCCTTGTGAGCTGTTTGCTACAATTGAGATAGTCAGGAAGGCATGTGAAAGAGCACCAGATACACGGATGAGAGATATGAAGGCCACATGTTACTGCACACCCGGGTAGAGTAGGCATTAATCTGTCCTCTATACAACAGTGACAGGCTGTCAGCCTGATGTCGATCTTAAATTTTCAGCATATTACAACATATGATTGTGCCTTTGCATGTCACAGTGGTTTGGCTGCTGTAACAGACTAGATAATCTGGCTAGTTATATCTTCAGTCTCCTTGAGTCTTCATTGTGTACTGAAGCAATGTGAGTATAAGACAACTACAGTACAGTGTGTAACTTGTAAAAATCAAAACCTAGGGGCCGGCACTGTGGCGCACTTGGTTAATCCTCCACCTGTGGCACCAGCATCCCATATGGGCGCTGGGTTCTAGTCCCGGTTGCTCCTTTTCCAGTCCAGCTCTCTGCTGTGGCCCGAGAGGGCAGTGGAGGATGGCCCAAGTGTTTGGGCCCTTGCACCCGCGCGGGAGACCAGGAAGAAGCGCCTGGCTTCGGATCGGTGCAGCACCAGCCACAGTGGCCCATTGGGGAGTGAACCAACGGAAGGAAGACCTTTCTCTCTCTCTGTCTCTAACTCTACCTGTCAAATTAAAAAAAAAAATCAAAACCTAAAGGAAACACTTTTCAGGCTACTTTTTTTTTCAATATTTAAAAGAGAAGGAGGGAGAGTGATTTCGGTCTGCTGGTTCACTCCAAAATAGATGTGGGCCAGGCTGGAGCCATATGCTCCGTCCTGGCTGCCCCCCCCTCCCTCCACTGGGTGGCAGGGGCCCAGGTAATGGGCCATCATCCACTGCCGCCTTACGAACATTAGCAGCAAGCCAGATTGGAAGCAAAGCAGCCAGGCTCTGAAATGGGACGCCAACATTGCAAGCAATAGCTTAACACACTGTACCACGAAGCCTGCTCCCAAAACAATGTTAATGACATTTTAAAATTAATATATAGTCATTTACAATTAAATAACTTTCCTGTTAGAACCTCATTCTTTTCTAGGAGAGAAAATAGTGACTAGTTTTATTGATTGCTATGCCAATTTGGTTTCTCAGAAATCAAAGGAATTGTGCAACTTGATGTACAATCATGTATACATTCCAATTTACAGTTTTTGTGGAAAGAAAAAATGCAAAAACAGCAAATACAGTTATCAAAGACATGCATTGTTTGAAGGAAAGAGCTTTTTGAATTTTCTTTAAAAATAAGCCATTCTAACAGTTTTACAATATATACACTTAGGAAACTATTTACATAATAGCTACATTTCTATTCTTTAATTAATGTTATTTTAAACTTTAGTCTTTGATTAAAACGAGCATGCCTAAATGTACACAAAGAGCATAGTCCTGAGGTTTTGTATATAATCGTTATAAGTGTGCAAGTAAAATATTAAAGATGGGTCAAGGAGCTCAAAGGAATCCTGCCTTCTGTTTATGTCAATTTATAACAGGATAAATACATCAAATTATGCCTTTATAATTTTTAGTATAATCACTTGGTTGACCATTATAAATTGGTTTTATTTTTTCAGTTACTTTCACTGTGTTCTGTTTGCTAAAATGAAAACATAAAATTACAAGTTTCTTCATCAAGCTACTTGACTGTATTCCTATCTTACAAGGTTTGTGTGGTAGCCATGTATGAAAAAACTCAAATTTTTAATCATATTCCATAGACTTTGACCATTTATGAAATGGAAATTTTAACTTGTTATCTTTTAAGCCTGGTACTCTACTTTTCAAACAAAAATGTGACTGGACAGGAGCACATAATTTTTTTTCCAAATGATATTTTCCCCTCTGAATTTCTTGGTTGACTATTCACCTTTGCTTAAAATTACTTGAGAAATACTCCTGACCCAAGAGTCAGTTGGTAATGCCTGCAGACATTTTTTAATTGTTATTTGACTGCGGGAGGAAGGAACTGCCCTACAGAGGTAGGTGGAGGCCAGAGTTAGTGCTAAACATCCAATAAGGCACAGGAAAGCCCCAGCACCTATACACAAACAAAACCATCACATCCGAAGTGATGATGGTACCAAGGTTGAGAAAGCCTGCCCTAGTGTGGTCAGGGGTGCAGTGAAGTGGCTAGGCTAATTTTTTTTTAGTGTATAATAATCCCACTACTGCATGGAAATGTGTAGTGGAGGCTAATACTATAAACGAAGGCTAGCTAAAGCTCTGTAGCTCCATGTGACCCTTGTTTAGTGCTTATCTAAGAAGGTAAACTAAATAATAAAAAGGGATGATATACTCTTCATATGCATACTAATTTTCCAATGAGCTATATTCAAAGGTACTTCAAAAACTTTGGAAAATGGAATTAAAAGTGGTTATTTTGGTGTAACATTGAAATCCTTAGTTTTTTATAATACACATTTTCCATGAACTTCCAGAAGGCCCCTTGTATACATTAGCTACATGGTTAATTAAATATTCAAGTTAAGTTTCTCCATTTTTTTAAAAATAAAATCTTGGAATGAAACAGTGAATCCACACAGCTGCTAAAACAATTGGGCTTTGGCACAACCAGCTAGAGAATACCAAGCTGTTTTTGCTGTAAACCCTTGACATTTTATGGCTAATTGATATCTTTTAAATTCTTGTTTGCCTTGCTTTGTCAAATACAAAGTAAATCATTAAACTGTCCAGATAGCTGTGGGCTGCCAACGTGGGCCAGGCGGGCAGTCAGAGCTATCCACATGCAAACAGGCAAAGACCTGCTTTCCTCTGACCTCTTTCCAAGTCATTTTTGAAGACTGTCTATTTATATTCTAGGAAATCCAGATCATAGATTTTTTTTTTTTTTTAAAGTGCTGCTTAACTCCAGTCCAGCCTTCCCAGTTTATGATGAGGACCCTAAGGTTTTTAGAGACCAAGTGCTTGTCCAAGGTTTAGGTATGCAGCGTCTGACAACATAGTCACCACAGCCCTTGCCCACCACGTCACCCTGGCACAAACTAGAGAACGTTTGGGCTCAGATAGAGAGGAAATGAAAAGCAGAAATGGGTAGTGGTTCCCAAGATGCATTCCATTCACATCTTAATGACTGAAGGGACTGTTAAAATGCTCATTTTTGAGCCGCGTCCCACAGTGAACAAGTTAGAATCTTGGGTGTTGGGGCCAAAGAAGTTAACCTTTTGAACACACCTGCCTATTTGCAATTCACTCCTCTGGGAGGAAGCACAGGTGCACCTGCTAATTTGGTGGCTTCCTAGGCTCCTGCCACTACTTCCTGCAAATTCACAAGATGTTTTATTTTGTCTTGTTTGCACTGCCAGAAATTCCAACATTTGGGCATTCCCTCAGGCTAATTTTTCTTATTTACTAATATATGAAAATAGCTCCCTTGAGGGTACGTAGCTCATATACAGTAGTTCACAAAGGTATGTGAACAAACATGACTTTACAGAAGACCCCACACCCGCCCCCAAACACCAGGGGGAGGAGGAGGATTGGATGAGGGGTAAATGCAGGTGGATGGCTTGGGACCCTACCCAGGAAGCCAGGCTGTGATGGCTTCTTTAGTGTGGGGGTACCTGCAGGTGAGAGGCTGCCAGAGAAATTACCCATCTTTCAAAAATCCTCCAAATCTTCCTGCCAGCTAATTGAGGCCTGAAAGAGAAGAAAATCCTTCCTTCCTTGTCTAGCATAGGCTGGCCTTCCAGAAGGCGGAGTGTTATCCTGACTGTTCTTATATGGGTGTTAAGCAGTATTTTGTGCCTTGGCTTCTAAACTGCCCCGTCCTCTAGCTTAGAGGAGAGCATACTCCTGACCTCCGCTGGGTTAGTCAGGCATGTTTTAACACAGGTAGCAAGGTGGGACTTGGAAGAGGCAGCTGTGGGCTGAAAGAAAAGAGCAAATTTTCCCTCGCTTATAAATAAAGTCACTGCTGCAGCGACCTCAGAGGAGCAGCCTGACTTTAAAAACACCCTGTGTTGTTTCTTACCCTCTTGGTAACATCAATATTTACAATTTTGTATACTTGTGGAAGTAACCAGTATATGATGTAGATCATATATAATATCTAGTATATTTAATAAATACTAAGATATAATTATGTAAGATGAATGTGATAGTATATGTGTATGTATACACATACACATATATATACACACACACACACACACACATATACTGTGCACTTCTACTTTTATGAGAGCATTCCCCTGCCCTTTCCCCCACTCCTCCCTAAGTCTGAGAAAGTCTGTTTTTCTTTAGGACTTGTCATGCCAGGAAGCCTTTCATGTTCCTGACATAACACATTAGAAGGTAATCTTTGGACCAGCCAGCTTAAAGATCCCCCCCCCCCAAAATAAATCTTACACCTGTACCCCACCCCACATACAATTTCTACATTCAGTCTGCCCAGCAGTTTTTCTTGAAATGTCAGGCTAGGTTCCCCAGGTCATTATTGAAAACAAACAACAAGTAGGATTTGAAAAGAAATCCATCAGGTGTACAGCAGCAGAGCCCGGCGGGGATGCTGCCGCTGGTTCAGCTGTTGAGTTCCGTGCTCTCGTCCATCTCCTCGGGGTTTTTGGTCATTTTTTCATATTTCCTTTTGAAGAAGCCGAGCTGTACAGGTGATGATAGAAAAATGTTATCACCCTCTGGATATGCGGATTTCTCCAATTTGATCATTACAGAGCGTTCATGTGTGTGTTGGAACACCACACTGCACCCAATAAACGTGCAAGTAGGAAACGTGAGCACCGTGGTTTATTTTGTATGGGACCCACTTTCTCTTAAGGAATCTCTGGAGATTGTGCTGGGTGGACTGCTTACCTGTACCTGTCACCTCTTTAGTGGAAAGAATTGATAGTTCAACTGAATTTCATAAATTTTCAGTCTACTTATTTAAATAAAATGTAGGTAACCCTGCTGGTTGAAAGGAAGTGTTTTTTTTTTTTTTGTTTTTGTTTTTTTTTTTTTTAAGGAGAAAAAATACCTCATTTTCAAGGAGCATGAAGGGGGACATCATAAATACGCATTTCTTTTCCCCTTAGGAGAGAGGAGCCACCATATAAAAACCCAAGGTTGCCGTTTTGTAAGGAGAGTCAAGCAGAGGCATGCAGGATCCCTGTGTTGTGAAATGTGAAGTGTTCTTACCTTCCATAAAATTGCAACCAGAGCTAACAGCAAAAGGATCCCAGCAATTATACTTCCAATTATGACTCCCGTTGGCACTTCAGCTTTCTCGTCAGGTTTCATTATCATGAGGGGAACCTGTGAATGCATATTCCCAATAGTTACCTGATTTCAGCATTGACAAGCTGAGCTAGTCTAGTCCAGTGATCTAACTATCGATGCCAACTCAGGATTCTTCAAACATTGTCCAGGACTACTTGAGAAAACATGCCTGCCAAGTTCAAGAGAACAGAATCTGCTGGTGTCCTCCCTAGAACTGCTTCAGTGTCTTGTGCCTGTGATGGGACTGACCCTCTAGGAGGTATGGAACAGGAAGGAACCTCAGTTTCTGGCACACGTTACCACCACCAAGTGAAAGCAGGCCTAGAGAAGGGAGTAGACCAACCGACCAACCTGGGCTGTGATTAGAAAGCAGTTTTGTCTTGGGTATCTAAAATACTGCTTTCACTGAATTCTCATTCAAGGTTGGTACCAATTTTGGGGAACACAAATGTCTGGGCTCAAGTTGACCTTTTGAAGAATAAACTTGTCCTTGAAGCTACATAGGATCCTTTACGTTCACATTGTGGGCGCTCTTATGATGCTGTTGTGGAATGGGTATTCTAAGTTTTGGTGACAAAACTGCCTATTTTTTTAAACTGGAATCTCAACCATTTTCTTCACAGAATACTTAAAGAGTCCTATGCTGGACCAAAAGAGTGTAATATCTGACTGACTTGACTTAGCACTAAGTGGCAGTGGAGGAAGTGCTGCCTTCTATCGTACCATCTGTGAGGTGCATTACACTTACACTTGGCCTTGGTTGGTGACTTTTTAAAAATTTGCCTATTTTAGAGCTAAAATAGGCTTTATAAATTTATGGATAAGGTGACTAAAAGTCCATATTGCTCACTGCTTAACAGCAGTCATCTGCCTGCCTCTCTACTCCCGAGTTTCCTCATCTGAGGCCCACATATTCCTGTGGCTCCCCGTGTATAAAATTTTGTGGATCAGAGTTAGTAAGCCTGCGACCCAATCACTTATCTGTAGGAATGTGACAATTTATTATTTAAAAACATTATTCAGAAACTCCAAATTGTTTATATTTTAAAATATTTTCATGGACAAGTTGGCCTCTCTTGTTTATTAGCATTGCTCAGAGAATCCAAGAAAAAAAAATTCGAGTGTATTAAAATATTTGAATTTTCAGTTAATGTGTTTAACATTGCTTTCTAAAAAACAAAGATTTCAGAATTTCACATATGACTTGAGCACGACATTCTTCTGAAGTGAGTTTTGAAAAAAAAAAAAAACAAAACTGTAGTACTTTTTCCCTAGGATAAGTTCACAGCACTTTGAATTCGAAGTCCACATTTGCCTTGGCTCCGTTTCTGATTTTCCGTGCCCGAACCTCTGAAGAGAGGGTGTGCACTTTCCCTGAGGTTCCTTAACCAGAAGCAGAAATGCATTCTCTGTGGAGTGCATCACTGTCCCTGGGACAAGAGTGGGGTAGCAGTGCTGTGAGCAGCCCCAAGTTCACGGGGCCATGGATTTTTTAGCCAAGTCTGTAGGCAGAAGAAGTGGACTGAGGCCAACTGCCAAGCTGGCCTTGGGGGCAGAGTCTTGAACTAGCTTCCAGCTCCTAACAAAAGCTTTGAGAGGAAAATGCTCAAGGCTCTGCCAGCAGATTAGCCAGGCATGGAAATCCTCTGTATCTAAATAAGGCATATTCTACCCAGAGTGTCAGTGCAAAGGAAAATGTCCTGTGCCAGCTCTTGGAACAGAGAGCCTTTGTTTTCTGTGAAAATACATTTCTCTGCAGAAGCTTTTTAATCAAGGGGCGCATTTACAGTTTTCTAGAATGTAAGACTTAATGAATGGATGTGTCACATAATGTCAGTGTCTGTTTTTAAGGAGTACTATTTTAGAAAAAAGGAGCCCTCTAATGCCTTAATTATTAAGCATGCTTCAGTACTCCTCTTTAAAAAAAGTAAAGTACAATTTATGAGTTAAACACAACTTAGATTTTGTAGCCCCCAATCTAGAGAGTCCGTGTGAGCATGGAGAGAAAGGAGGGACTGGTGTTGCCAGGTTAGGCACGGAGAAGGGACACCGTGGGTCTCCAAGCAAGACAGAGCCCCTTTTGTGACTCACATTAGATCATTACTTGTTGAAAAGCCAGCTTTGCCCAGGTGGGCATTTGGAGGAGGACCAGTCTATCACTCAAATTTTTGAGCAGCAAACACCCTTATCAGAAGCTCAGTATTGTAGCCATCAGATTCTTCTGGGTTTCAGTAAGGTATTTCCACTCGCAAGTGGGAAGAACACCGTTGCAAGTGAAGAAAGGGGCCACCTGCCGCAGACGAACACCGTGTGGAGGATGCGTGCACTCACCGTGACGGTGTTTTCTTCGATCACGAATATCTGGGGGTTGTAGGTGTCAACCTCTGCAGCTGCTGTCAGTTGTACTGTCTGGAAAGGCGACTGGAACACAAGAGCAACCATCTTAGCGGCTGGCACTGTGACAGTGGGTAAAGCCACTGCCTGCCATGCTGGCATCCCGTATTGTGCCAATTCGTGTACTGGCTGCTCCACTTGTGATGCAGCCCCTGCTAATGGACTGGGAAAAGCAGTGGAAGGTGGTGCAAGTGTTCGGGTCCCTGTCACCCATGTGGGAGACCCAGAGAAAATTCCTGGCTTTGGCCTGTCTTCTGGGGAGTGAACTAGTGGATGGACAATCTCTATGTCTCGCTCTCCCTCCCTCTTTCAAATAAATAATTGCTTAAAAGGAATATATTTACTTCAGCAGTAGTAAACGCAGAACTCCATGTTTATGATTTGTTTTCTGGTGGGAAGTGGTGAGAAAATCCAAGTCTTGGAGAACTTGTGGGACAGGCCTCTCACTCGGTTACAATACCTACATCCCACACCACAGCATCTGCTGTCAGCTCCCAGCGTCCGTTCCCAATTCCAGACTCTGGAAGGCTCAAGTTGTTGGGTTCCTGACACCTATCTGGGAGACCTGGATTGACAGTTCAGCTCTCACCCAGCCTTAGCTGTTGTGGGAATTTGGGTAGTGAATGGGACACCTCTCTAAGTAAACAATTGAGGCAAAATCCCCAAAGACTCTTCGAGTGCTTAAATTGGTAGTATGGGGGCTGGCGCTGTGGTGCAGTGGCGCAGTGGCTTAACACCCTGGCCTGAAGCACATCCCATATGGGTACCGATTCTAGCCCCGGCTGCTCCTCTTGTGATCCAGCTCTCTGCTATGGCCTGGGATAGCAGTGGAAGATGGTCCAAGTCCTTGGGCCCCTGCACCTGTGTGCGAGACCTGGAGGAAGCTCTTGGCTCCTGGCTTCGGATGGGCACAGCTCCGGCCATTGTGGCCATCTTGGGAGTGAATTAGCGGATGGAAGATCTCTCTTTCTGTCTCTACCTCTCTCTGTAACTGTCTTTCAAATAAATAAAATAAATCTTTAAAATAAAAATTGGTAGTATGGAACAGCACAGCCTTCAGAGGTAGCTGGGGAACTTGTGAAATGTGCAGATGATTGGGCTCTGCTTCTGAAAAAAACCAAGTCTCTGAAGGATGGGATCCAGCCATCAGCAAATTAAAACATTTCCCTGGCTGCCCACAATAGTCTCCCGTGTGGGTGGCAGGGAACCTACTACTAGAACTATCACCTGCTGCCACTCAGGATGAATATCAGCAGGAAGCTGATCACAAGTCAAGCTGGGACTCAAACCCAGGGACTCTGATAGGGGACGCAGGTGTCTGAAGCAGTGACTTAACAACTGTGCCCAAAAGGCATGTTTTTAGTTATGGAAGATTATAGTGAAGGTTGTAAAATGAACTTTGCAACGTGACAAAATTGCATGCTGAGTTTATATACTTACCTGAATGAGGCATATAATGGAATGGGAAACCAAAATTTAACAGGGAAGGGAATTTTCCTTTAGGTACGTGTGTGTAAAATAATACCATTTAAAAGCACACTTTAACTTGACCATGCCTGTTGGCAGCAGACACCTGAACTTTTTGGCATGTTATACATCATCAGTAATAATTACGGATTTCCTAATCCAGGTGTTTCTACCAAACACATTGGATTTGGGGTAGGCAGATGGGAAGGGCATACATTTTATGTTGACATTACCAGTAACATTTTATTATGAAATAACTTTATATGTTTTCCTCAAATGAGTTACAGAAAAATCGGTTTTTAAATGGAAACACTGATGTGTGTATTTCACTATTGTTTTCTCTGTAATGCAAATACTGGACCAGATGCCAACTGTGAAGTAGAATACAGTGCTCAAATTTTAGAGCAGCCCTCACATACCCTGGCTAGTAGGACTCAGTTTTTTTGGTTACCAGGGCACACAATCCAACAGACTCCATGAGGTAATTTGCTAAACTATATCTAGGAGCCAGAAAGAGAAAATATATTTCCAAAAAGTGAGCAGTTTGTTTCCTTTCCATTGGCTTAGTCTCTGGCTATTCTTAATTTTCTCAAGATGGACAATTGCATCAAAAGTTAACCCCATTCACTGCTCTCTTAAATATCTATTATTGATGGAACATAAGCAGTATTGACAGTGACAAAAGTGGGAAGAAATAAGTAGCTGTTGGCGAATTGTGGTTTCATACTTCCTGTAGGTTATAGAAGACAGCATTTTTCTTATAATACTGTTAACATCTGTACTCCCATAGCAGGCCCTTTGCACAGGCACACCATGGTCTCCTGCAGGCTAACACACAGGTGGGCAAGCCTGCACACCTGGGGAGTGAAGTGACACACCTGCTAGCATTCATCAAAGCATTCACTTAGAAATTGCAGCCAGTGCTGCCATGAATTTGAGGGCCTGAGCCATCACTTTGTGATGGAATTATTTGAAATGTCATGTTGAATTGCACCACCACCACACACACACACACACACAATGGCAACAAGAGGCAGCACATTAATGGTCTCTAATACAGGAAATGAGATCCACATTTCAGACTGGATCACCCAGGTGGACTGAGAACATCCAGTTTTCCATAGAAATTGCTGAAAACAAGATGGGGATAATCATTTGACCTTTCCAAAGGAGGAAAATGTATAGGACTTGACAGATAACTCCCAAGGTATCATCTCAGTTTATCCACCGTAACAATATGGAAAAGCATAAATAATATTCTTCCTAAGAAGCTGGTCTTATAATTGAAATGATGTAGCTTTAACCCAACCTGAGACAAACAAAATGCTTTTTACAGAGCTGGCGTGATTGCATTTTGATGTGCAACAGCACGTTTTTCCTTTCCAATTGGCAGAGTTCGCTATGAAAACATTTGTTCCTCAAACTCAAGGAGCCAAGAATCGAGTGGTAAAAGTGAGCACCAAGCTGCAGCCGCTTTGCATCGGAGACGATTTAGAATTATCCTGAAGGCATGAGAGCCAATGGAGCTCAGAAGAAAATAAAAGCAAGGCCAAAAGAAAACACAACTCCTCACTTCCCCATTCCTCACCCCACCTTTTGATTTTTTTTTTTTTTTTTGCATTCAGCATTCCTTTCCCTTATCCAAGATATTTCTCTTATTTGGACTCCAGGGACAAGTGTGGAGAGAACCAGTTCTCTAACACAAAACTTGATAGCAAGGAGTGGAGTTTATTGGAGACGACATGAACTAGTGAAAAACCAGGGAGTGGCGTCTAGTTGTAAGCACCTTGTGAACTGATTTATTTAAAAGAAATGAACTAGAGCCACAGAGGGCCCCAGAGGTTTCAGACTAATTTGTATTTTGCTACTCAGTTGGAGCCAGGAGTGGTAAAAGGGATGGCCAATCACTGAAGCAAGCAGATGTAGGGCAGCCTGTCTGTCTGATTTCTTGTGCCAAACTGATATCCTGGCTACCAAAATCCCTGCTCAAAGTAAACATCGCTATAGCACATGGAAAATCAGCCCTGACCTGGCTTTGGCACTTTGTGCAAACTGCTCTTGGGGATGGAAATGACTTAAGTTGTCAGGGCACTGGGTTCTTTTATCAGAAGATGGGAAAAACAGAACAGAGGGTTACTTGGCCCTAATAAAGGAAGATGGACCCTCAGCTACTATGTATCTACTGGATAGTTTAAGATCAGTTACCTAAGAGCTCTAGGAGAGAGACAAAGGCATTTTGACTCAAGTGTGATGAAGACTGGGAAGATGGAAATGTTGGGAGCATATGAAAGGAGGCAAAGCAAAAGCAGATGGCCCTTGGCAGCTGATCTTGACACCATCATGTCGCCACAGGTCTGCATGGAGCCTCAGAAGCAGATGTACCATAAGCACCCCAGGTGACTGAGGCGTGGCCAGATCGGGTGAGCACTGGGACAGGATGGAAGCAAGCTGCTTTCCCGCTCTGGCCTATCTGCGCACTGCTGGTAGCAGCCGTCTCCACAATGCAGCCTTACATTTCCTTGCTGTTGATAAACCCGGCCAATAAAGCTGATACTTACTGCTGCAAAAGTCCAGTTCCAAATCCTGGTAGACACATTAATGAAGTACTCGCCTCTCACGTGGAGGTCCTTCAGCCAGCAGGTGATATTACTACAGGAAGCAGTTCTGCAGTTCTTTCAGGTTGAAGTCAGTAGCAAAAGGAGAGAGAGGGTTGGCGTGGGTTTAAAACCATACGTGCTAACATTTCACAAAGACAGATAAACCCCGTGGCTGGGAAAGATCTAGGCAAACAGGCAATCTCATGAACTATTAGAGCTCATATCTATTCATCTGGGATCTTGGTACTATGTCTTAAAATGTAAAATGTGCATACCCCCTTGCCCCTGCCCCCTGGGGACCCAGCCACCCATGTAATAGACATGGATTGAGTTCTGGGTTCCTGGCTTTAGTCTTGTCCAGGCCTGGCTCTTGTGGGCATTTGGGGATTAAACCAGCAGATGCAAACGTGCTCTCTCTCTCCCTCACTCAAATAAATTGAAAAACAGTGAATAAACATTGTAACAAATATGTTTTTAAAAAATGTATGAAGAACTGGCCAATGTCAAATGCTAAGTTTCTCATGACTTCTTTATATAAAAGCACACACGTATCTACAAGTATCTGTAAATTAACATACTTTAAGGGAGGAATTTTGTTCTCCTGTTTTCTTATTTCCACCACTTTTTACAAAACAGTTTTGCTCAGAGATGACAAGTATGATTTTAACATTGTGCTTTCTTTAGAATTTATGGACTGCTGACTTACTTGAATACTTAATTGGGCAAGCACCTGCTAGATTAATCTCTTTCCCAAAGAAGAGTGTACATCTTAGGAATAGGAGATAAAAAATTATTGGAAAATAGAAGAGGAACATATTTAGCAGATAATAAAAGATACCAGTGGTGATATAGAATAGGGACTTAAAGTTTCTTATTTATTTTTTTGAGAGGCAGAGAGAATTTTCCATCCATTGGTTCATTCCTCAAGTGCCTACATCAACTGGGGCTGGGCCAGACTAAAGCTAGGAACCTGGAAATCAATCTGGGTTGCCCACATGGGTGGCAGAGATCCAACTACTTAAATGATTACCTGCTGCCCTTCAGGGTGCACATTAGTGGTGAGCTGGAACTCAAACCCAGGCACTCCAACATGGGATGCAAACATCCCAAGTGGTGTCTTAACCATCGCACCAAACACTTGTCTTGGAAGGAGGATGTTCGAGGCCTTACATACCCAGTCCCTCACAGATCTTTGTGATGTTCCCAAAGCACACAACACAGAAACATGGGAATTGCAGGAGTCCTTCAGATATCAGGAACTCCAAACATGAATTTTATGTTTTACAATGTCCAAACCTAGACTTGAGCGTTAGAAGTGCTTTCTAAATCACAATTCATGCAAGCCGTCAAGGTGAGATGAGAAAGCTCTGTGTTATCAGGTGGCGAGAGAAAAGCGGCCTCGATTCCAGGTAAGAGAAACAACGAATCACTCCAAGAAACTTTCACACTTAACCTGTCCTCACCAATTCTTTTGTGTGCCGGAAATTCTCACTCTTGAAAGATACAGAAGCAGGTATTTGTCCGATTTTCAGTGGATTTATTTCTCCATTACAACTGATGTCACCAGCCTACAAAGAAGAATGCTTGATCAGATTTAGGAAGCAAAACACTCTATGATGCTCCTGACATGTTAGGGAATCCCGAGCTAGATACTAGAAAAGAGGATGGGTTTTTTAGCCTCTCTTCACTGGTGCTGACCAGGCCACACTGCCTGTAACCATTAAATAAACCCTGGAGTACTCAAATCCTTTGATGTGACTTGATGAGATGGGGTAGGTTCTTATGTGATGAGACAGATTTGCAGTAATAATAGAATGTGAGTTGCTTTAGTTTAGCGAGATTGATGTTGTCTAGTCCCCTTTACACACTACAAGAATTACACTGTTGTAGACCTGCCAAGTGGTAGACCCAGGATAAGTCAATGTCAAGGGTTCTCACCAGAACAGTGCTCCTTGGGTCAGGTTGCATGATGGAAAAACCTGAGGAGCTCATAAAGAAAAGTTCTGATGTTAGGGCCTTACCCCTGGACACTCTGACTTCCTTGCCCTGGGTGGGGCTGGGCAACATTGTTACTTAAAAGACACGGCTCATTTACATGAAGAGCCAGGGTGGAGTATTGCCACCTGCAAAGTCCAGGCTGGCTGCTTGAAGGCCAGAGCCCTAGGTCTGTTTTGTGCTGCTCTAACAGAGACACTGAGAATGGTAATTTGTAATGAACGGACAATTTATTGGCTCACAGTTCTAGAAGCTGGGAGTCAAAACCAAGGTGCTGGCAGCTGGGAAGGCTTTCTGACCACATCATTCCATGTGTGGAGGTCAGAGGGGGACGCGGGAAATGGGGAGCCCAATGTGCCCTTTTGTAAGGACACCAATCCCATCCATGACAAGGGACCCTCATGGCCCCACCACCTCTTTAAGGCCCCAACCTCCTAACACTGACACAAAGGCAATAAACTTTTCAGCTTGAGCTTAGAGAAGATAAACACTGAAACCACAGCTACCAGCTACTAACTGCAGCTGTGTAGACCTACTATGTTCCTGCTATAGACTTGCTTCCAAGTTGACTCCATTTTCTCCTCACAGAGCCCTGACAGCCAGAACTTCACTTGGCAAAACAGGGCTTTTGGAATAATGTCTGCCATTTGTAAGTCCCTAGACACAGACATTTGTCTTCCTGTAACAATACCGTGCTTTTAATATGAAGTTAACTAATTAAATCAATCAATTGGCACTCGTGATACATCAGGGTTATCTTCTGTCTGTCACGTGCAAATGTCAGACATGATAATAACCTCATGGCTTATTTCCATCCTGAACAATGCACTTTTTTCTAGCCCACTTTGTCATCCTTACCTGTCCTGTGTGCACTCCCGTCAGGTACATCAGTGGGTTCTTTTCTTTGGTGTATTGAGGGATATGGATGATTACAGATGCCATGCTTACAGGGACACTTCCTGTTGTTACCTGTGTGTGGAAACCCATGCTGGGATCACGACATGGTGCAAGGCAAGGGTCAATAACCTCTGTGTTGATTAGGGTCAACCACAAAGTGGTAAAATCGAGTTTCTTTGGAGGTGACTCACTGCCTTATCATCACACGTTAGGCCTCTGAGTCTTCTTAATGGAAAATAACCTCACCCTCTGTAATTTTAATGAGGAATAATTGGTGACTTGATAAACATGGTATACATGATTGAAAATGCTACCTGTGGAGGTGGGTTGTAGGGTATGGTCCCACCCCGCCACTGACTAGCAGTGTGGCTTGGGGAAGCAACTCAACCCCTCTGTGCTCCAGTCTTTGTAGAAGAAACTGGATCCAAAACTCAGTAAGTGTGCCCTGGTGCATCAATTGTTACTCATGGAGCTTCGATTCTGCAGTGCTTATGCCCTCCTGATTGTCCAATTATTTTATAATGACCCTAGGAATAATTGTATCAACCTCATAACTGATCTAGGACTTAAATAGGAGTAGCATGTAAATCAATTGATGTGATGGCTGATATTATACTCTCTATAATGTTATTGTGTTATTACAAATCGATTAAAGAATGCAGTTGTCAGATATTATAGTTTATAAAGTTCATTATTTAGATAACAAATCAAGATTCTTTTAAGATTAAAAAAAAAAACCAGTAGGGTTGCAGTCTTGTAGCAGATGAGCAGGAAATGTAAAATAGTACAATGGTACTGCCCTAGGGTAGTGGATGAATTTGCTTTTTATTGTCCAAAGTTTATCTAATAGAATTATTTCTGTGTATATAACTGATAATAACTGAGACATTATAATACTTACTGATGAATAGTCATAGACTTTGGGTTATGCTACTACCTCTACAAAACCCTTATTTGTACACCAATGCATACATCCCAAACAGAAATGGTCTCCATCTCATTAATATTGAACATTTGCCTTCCAGATATCACAGTTACCCTTACCCAAGACGTATCACTATGAACAAAACCCAGTAAGATTTATCGATGGTCTACTTTGTGGTGCTCAAGGTATGAAATGGGAACCAGCAGCATGAGTGTCACCTGGAAACTTGTTAGAAATGTACATTTTTGACTCAGACTTACCCCAGACCTACTGAATCAGAAACTAGATGAATCCTAGCTATCTGTGCTTTAACAAGATCTCCAGATGACCTGCATGTACACTCAAGTTTGATATCCACTGGTGTATTATTTTCTCCCTCTTACCAGGCTCATTTTTTCTTTCCCCTTCCTTCTGATTTGCCTTTCTAATGAGAAGCTTACCAACCTTTAGGGAGAAGATGAATTTCGGACCAATATCTTCAAAACTGTTCACGATGGAAGGAAGATTCCCATCTGAAGAGACTTCATAAAAATTTATGTTGGTGGATCTGTTGGGTGATTGTTTAGAAAGCCAAACATTTTAGTTTTACTGTTCTTTTTAAAAAGTTTTTATTTTCATCCATTTGACAGACAGAGTGACAGAGATAGATGTAGAGTCAGATATTCCACCTGCTGGTTCCCTCCCCAGATGTCTGCAGTAGCCAGTGCTGGGCCAGGCTGAACCAGGCGTTCAAAACTTCATACAGGTCTCTCACATGGGTGACAGGGGCCCAAGCACTTGAACCATCATCCGCTGCCCCCCAGGCTGCATTAGCAGGGAGCTGGATCAGAAGCGGAGGAATAGCACTTCCATCTGGGATGTGGGCATCCCAGGCAGTGGTTTAACCCCCCTGCACTGCAATGCCCACCTCTGCTGTTGTTATTAAAGCTTCCTATTTCTTTAGTAACTTATAGTTTAGATTACAAGTAAAACCATTTAATTATAAAAGCACTACATGAAAACTAATGTTGTATGGGCTTATGGGCCAAAGAATGTTTCTAAGACTAAACTTCCTTTCAAAACATATCCCTTCCTAGTCTTTCTCTTGAGGTTCTGTGATATGTGTTTAGAAGTTATCACATCTCTGAAGTGTTACTTTAGAACTGATGGGGAACTCCTCTCAAGACTGCTGCTTTATTGTCTGGTGTGCTAACAGTGGACACCCAGTCCTTGCAGATTGGATGAATGGGTTTATAAATCAGGGATTCTCTACTTGGTGTGCAAGAAACACAGGCAAAGAATATTGGATATTAGTTCCTATGAGACAGGCCATGCTTTTTTTAAAAATTATTCGTTCTGGCCGGCGCCGCGGCTCACTAGGCTAATCCTCCGCCTAGCTGCGCCGGCACACCGGGTACTAGTCCCGGTTGGGGCGCCGGATTCTGTCCCAGTTGCCCCTCTTCCAGGCCAGCCCTCTGCTGTGGCCAGGGAGTGCAGTGGAGGATGGCCCAGGTGCTTGGGCCCTGCACCCGCATGGGAGACCAGGAAAAGCACCTGGCTCCTGGCTCCTGCCACCGGATCAGCGCGGTGCGCCGGCCGCAGCGCGCCGGCCGCGGCGGCCATTGGAGGGTGAACCAACGGCAAAAGGAAGACCTTTCTCTCTGTCTCTCTCTCTCTCACTGTCCACTCTGCCTGTCCAAAAAAAAAAAAAAAAAAAAAATTATTCGTTCTTCCTATCCTTCTGTGGTTCCAAGCCCATGCTAATGGTGTGGGTCTGAATTGCAGTTGGTGGGATCTGTGGGGTGGAGACCACCTTTCAGATGCATTAGAGATCTCTTTAAACTAGAGCTAAAGGCATTGCTGATTAAGGTCTTCCCACAAAGTGATACTAGGTCAGAGGAACCCCCATAGGATTACTCAGACTGGAATGAAACTGGGGACCCTCCTATGTTCTCATTCATTTCTGAGACCTCAAGGCCAGATTCCAACCAGGGCAGCTTCTGTGGTTGGGGGGTAGAGGAATGGGTGGTAGCGGTAGGAGTCTAAGAAGCACTACACACCTTCTGTTTAAATCATAGACAGGCCTGTGTTGTGGTGTAGCAAGTAAAGCTACCACCTGCAATGCCAGAATCCTATATGGGCACTGGTTCTATATTTGGCTGCTATACTTCTGATCCAGCTCCCTGCTAGTGCACCTTGGAAAGCAGCAGAAGATGGCCCAAGTGCTTGGGCCCTGCAACCATGTGGGAGACCCGGATGAAGTGCATGTCTCCTGGCTTTGGCCTGGCCCAGCCCTAGCCATTGTGGTCATTTGAGGAATGAACCAGTAGATGGAAGATTTCTGTCTCTCCCTCCAACTTTGAAATAAATTTTTTAAAAAAATCTTTAAAAAATCTTAGGGACAATTTATCTTCATTATAGGATATTTATTATATTTCCTTAAAAAATGGACTGGACATTTCCTGAGATAAAATTGTTTCCTTCCTAAAACTTTGTCCTTCTCTTTTTTAGGCTTTAAAAAAAACATTTCCAAAGTCTCAAAAGGAAAATATGTCATAGGGAGACTTAAATAGATGTAGTCAAGGTTATGTATATGAGAGGAAACAGTGAGTTGTCAGCCTTACATGGAAAATGGGAAAAGTGACTTGGCTTTGAAACAGAAACCTGGCTGTGTGTGCCAGAATAGTTTGCTTTGCTTTCCAGAGATTTTTGTGTGAGCACATAAAAAGTGACAATTTCTAAATTGATCAATATGTTCTCTTTTCGTTTTTAGATAAGATCTGACATTTTCTCATCTGTTATTTAAGTGTTCCTTAAATCACCTAAGTGTTCATCAGTATATTTACAGTCAGGGGATCTTGCTTCAGAAATAATTCTATCACTGTCTGTTTCTACCCGCCATATTTGTACAATGTAACTGCACATTCATACATATCAGAGTGGCTGCTAAGGAATCTACATAATCTTTTCCAAAAGTTTGTAAAGATGTGTGTTAAATTTTGTTTTTTTTTTGCATGGCATAGAATGTTTAAACAAAATAAAAATGCAAAATAATCTCTCATTAATGTTGGAATGACCCAGCCAAGAACAGAATAAGCTAAATATGATAAGCTACATATGATAAGATAAATATGATAAGAAAACTTTTCTAAGATTACATAAAAAGGTATAGAAAAGTATTTTACCACTACCACTATCCATTTGTACTTTTCATTTTTTTTTTTGAAGATTTATTTGAGAAACAAAATAAGAGAGAGAGGGAGAGACAGGGAGAGAGAGAGATTTTCCATCTGCCGTTCACTCACAAATGGCTACCTTGGTCAGGGCTAGGCCAGGCAGGAGCCAGGCCTGTGCACTTGGGCCATATTCCTCTGCTTTTCTGGGCACATTAGCAGGAAGCTGGGTTGGGGAGCAGCTGGGCCTTCAACTGGCTGGTATCATGGTGGTGGTTTAACACACTATAGCACAACAGTGGCCATACTTTTCTTTTATAAAAAGTATTGATAGGACATGCGTTGGTGATAGCATTGGGAATCATTTTAGCATTTGTTCTCTATAATTCTTTGCATTAAAATGTTAACTCTATGTTTTAAAAAATATTACAATGTATTAGAATCTAAGTTACTACCAGAAAAATACGTGGCTACGATGTCAGACAGTAAAATGAATCTTTTATATTTATTTTGTGTTAAAGTGTCTGAAAAAAAATTAGTAGAAGTGTGAAACCATAAAAAAGCTGCATCAACAAAAGGCACCCAAGGAGAGGAAACACCAGTGAGTAGTTCAGGTAATGTGGTAAGAGCAAGCTCTTTGGTTGCATTTGTTTTTAATTACTTATTTTAGCAACTGGGAGTCCTTTGACATCTGAAGTTCCTGATTGATTTTTCAGGGATGGGTGGCTTGGGCTGGATTCTGTTTCTGCCTGTGCTGTTCACAGCACACTGGACACAGAAGCATTCCTCTCATCTTTGCTCATGTGGCTCAGGCTCTAGACATGATGGCATATTTTCCTTTCTCGTTTTGCTCAGTGATCAGCTGGGGTGATATGCTGGAAGTTAGAGCAACCTGTCACTGAACCTTGGAAAATGCTGCCATGTATTTTCCAGGGGTCATTGATTTAGCTGGGAATGAGCACAAGGCTTCAGTAGGTAGAGACGTCTGGGGCCCAGGCTGGAGGTGGGCATTGCCTGCAGCCCACACACTGGCACAGCTGTGCTCCGTGGCTGTGCCATGAACTTGCCTCACTTCCAATCGTGAGTTAAGATTAAAGCAGTCTATTATCGCCCTTAGTATTTGTAAGTTACCCACTTCCCAAATCACCCATTTCTGTCAACAATTTAGGACAGTGATACCGGCCAGTATCGCTTTGCCCACTGCTCTCAGGTTTACTAGCTTTGAACAAGCAAGAAGAGGGAATAAAGCATTTCTTCATGGATGACTCCCTCTGGAAAATTCCTCGCTTCCTCCTGGATGGAAGAAGACTGCAAATGTTCATTTTCCACCCAGAAACTAGACTGGATCTACTTCCAGTATCTGACGATTTAACCTGTGACCATAAACAGTATTGGTTGGGAATTACTCTATGCAAAGCATTATGCTTGGGGCTTGGATAACCTAACGGGGGAACTGCTTGAGCTTTCATGTGGACATTAGGAAGCAGGCAGTGAGAAGAAAGTGTGGCGACGCTCAGAGTTCTCTTTTCACATCTCAGAGAGTTTGTAGCTCCTCTGAGGGCTGATAGAGGAGCTTCCCTGCGGCACATGGCCAAAGAGGAACTCCTCTGTCTTTGCAATGCCATTCACAGTCAATAATCTTAAATAGTCACTCAGGTTTTCCTAGAGTCAAACTTGTCTGTGGACTTCTATTTCTTTTTTAAAGATTTATTTATTTTATTCGAAAGGCAGATCGACTAAGCTATTGTCAGGGGAGGGAGGGAGAAGAATCTCCCATCCACTGATTTACTCCTGATATGGCCCCAACGGCCAGGGCTGGGCTAGATTGAAGCCAGGAGCCTGGAGCTCCATCCTGGGTGGCAGGGGCCCAAGTGCTTAGGCTGTCTTCTGCTGCCTTCCCAGGCACATTAGCAGGGAGCTGGATTGGAAGCAGAGCAGCCAGGACTTGAACTTGTGCTACAGTATGGGAGGCCAGTGTCACAGGTGGCAGCTTACCGTGCCAAGCCCTTGGACTTCTGTTTTAGTTCACAAGTTGAAATGTACTGATCCAAATTCTTGCTTTAGGAATGTACGTATACAGTAATTTTGTAGTCACGGCCAATGTATTAGGCTCCCCACTTCTTACCTACCTTGTCAGGTGAATCTCAGCATCATACAGCAGAGGTATTTTGAGGCTGACTGCATTATCTGCCAGGTTTTCTTCTTGGCTTTCACTGTTAAAACAAACACTGGGAAATTACTTAAAGATATTTTAAAGGCCAGATATCATCAACCCATGACTTCACTGTGTTTACCTTATGGCTTGGAAACTGACAGATGCCTGATTCTGAAGGTTTTGAAGATTGAAGTCAAAGTTTACAGTAAAAGTCACCTACACACAAAATTAACATTTGTCAAGCTTATGCATCATACTCGAAGAAAAATGTTTCCAATAAAAGAAAACTCATTCCTAGTTGATTGTGTATTGTATCCACCTTAAGCTGTTCCTGCTTTAGCATGCTCACTCTAGGGACAGCTCAACTCTCAATGGACCATCCAAGTTACTCATACACGTCTGAACTGGAAACCTCTGTGATGGTGTGAAATTTGTTTACCAAGTGTTAACAAATGTTTTCTAGGGGCTGGCTTGGTGGCACAGTGGGTTAGGCTGCCATATGCAATGCCAGTATACCATACTGGAGCCCCAGTTCAAGTCCTAGCTGCTCCACCTCAGATCCAGCTCCTGCTAATGTGCCTAGGAAGGCAGAAGTTGCTGCCCAGTATTTGGGCCCTGCTACCCATCTGGGCGATTCAGATGGAGTTCCAGACTCCATCTATTGCCAGCCTCCTTCTATTGTGGCCATTTGGGGAATGGACCAGAGGATGAAGATTATCTTTCTCTCTCTCTCTGTCTTCCTCTTCCTGTCTCCCCCTTTGTCTGTCTGTCATTCTGCCTCTTAAATAAATACATCTTAAGAAAAAACTGGTATCTGTAATTCTGTGTACAGCACTTTGGTCAACACTTTTAGGCAAAAAGAACTTTTTCCATTGCATGTACTTTTTGGAATAAATGGCATAAGGGAGACTTTATTTAATAACTTAAAATATTAAGATGTTAAAAGGCTTCCACAAAGTATATAGCCTATTATTGTGTGATGCCCATCAAAAGATGATATCCAACACAGATGATGCTACAACAGTAAATTAACTAGGGTGTTGGGAAGGTGCTAGCATGGATGTGGGTGTGGAATGCAAGTTGTACCTGTTGTTGCTTCTTTAAAGCAGGGTAGCCTACATTGCAGGTAACAGACTTCTGAGATGAAGCAAGCTGGCATGTCACTTCTGTTCCATCAACCTGAAGATAACCAAGGACAAAACACGATCCATTAGAGTGCACATACACATTGGAAGGTATAGAGGGATATTTTGGCAATAAGGTTGGTTTCACACTAAAATAGTTTATCATTCCCTAAAATTTGAAAGTCTTGTACTGTCCAGTTTCCAGTATGATTATTATTGCTGATTCTAAAGATAAGCAGCACATCCTACAAGCCAAAGAAGAGCTTTAGTACAGAACTTCTTTCCCAGCAGGAAACTGTAGTTCTTATATTTCAGAAACACAATGAGTTTTAATCCAATATTTAGAAGATTATCTTTAGTACATATCTTTCTCTCAATGTATTTGAAATTTGTGTATTTAAGAGAAGGAAACAAAATCATATCAGTGTTTATATATTTTTAATAATTTAAGTAATCCTTTAGTTTTCTGTTTTTTCTTTTTAAAATAAGAAGTTATCATTTAGCACAGTATGTTTATATTATTTTATTTGTTTGGTGGGGGGTAGAGAGAATGAACAAACTCCATCCACTAGCTCACTCCCCAAATGCCCACAGCAGCCAGAAATGTGTTCTGTTGGGGCCAGGAGCTGGGAGCTCAACCTGGCCATCAGAGACCGAACCCCTGGAGCCACTGCTATTTCCCAAGGTCCGCATTAGCAGGAACCTGGAATCAGGAGCGGGAGCTGGGAGTTGAACCACAGGCTGTTTAAGTACTAAGGTCAGGATTGGTGTCAAACTCTAAATTTATTAAGTTCACTTTAAACTGGATGCAACTATTACTCTCTTAATTGGGAAAATCTCAGCTTTTTCCTTCTCTCCTTTTTTCCCCCCTCCATTGTTGATGCTAGGAGAGGGACCGGGGCACTCATGGTCAAGTGTGTTGCTGGTTTGGTGATCAAGTCAGCACGATGACCTGGCTTTGCTGGAATGCATCCTCTTGGCAGCAGTAAGACATGTGGTTGCAAAGCTCGGGCTGAGCTGTGGGACTTGAGTGTGTCTGAGCAAGTGCACAGCATCTGTGCAGCACGCAGCAGCCACATCACACGGATGGCTCGGGAAGGTGATGGGAGTGTCTGGCTACTGCGGCCAAGTACCCGGGTGAAGGAAAAACTGAACGAGGCTCGAAGCAGAAATGGCCTAGATACAGAGCCAGACCAGGTCCTCGTGTGGTTTAACTAGTTGGCAGTCAAGAGTCAGTAGTGATCATGCTGGGGTTGAATGTGCTGAACAGCTACAGGAACAAGGGGATTTGAGTAAATGTAAGGAAGTCAGGACTTGATAATAAGTAGGAAACCCAATAGCGGCACACATGGGGGCCATCACATACCGGCATGGAAGATGAAGCAAAAAACAAGTTTTCTGAAAAATTAGCAACAATTCTAGTGTTGTATGCACTTTCCTTTTTATTTTTCAGTGTTACTGAAAATGTTAACCGTTTGTTTTGATTGCTGACAATAAAAGGTTGTTCTCTGTTAAAAGCAAAAAAGGAGAAAGAGAAAAAGGAGCCTTAAAGTAAAAAAATAAAAAGGCCAGTATTCCAAAACGTCATGCATTTAAAAAATAAACTCTGGATTATTTGGTATACTGAGAAAATTGCTTAATAAATTATCTGCATATTAAAATGATACTGACAATAAAATAATAAATGCCATGGGATTTTCTTCTTCATTGCTCTTAATGACATTACAGAGACAGGAGCCATCCAAACACAATAATTTTACATTTCTTACTGCTCTACACTTAGGCAGATGGCAGAACCTAAACTTTGCTTTTAAAGTCATTTACTATTATAAATGTTTCTTTGTAGAAGAAACTCCAGAAATATTATTTGAATGAAACAATTTTAGTGTGTCTTTATTTCTACATCTTACATAAGCTTTCAAGTCACACTTACTGGGTAGCTGGCAGCTGCTTGACATTGAGAACCAGATCTGAGATGCAAAGCCCATCACCACCACAGTCTTTGTAGAAAGGGATCTACAAAAGAGGGGGAAATCCTGTACATTTTCTCCTGTGCTAATTACACAAGAATGCATAGCATCATTCCATGTATGCAAAGTTCAAAACCATGCAAGACCAAGCAGTGTTTAGGAACATACACAGGTTGAACAAAGTCATAATGAGAAGCATTGATAAATAAATATAAAATTCAAGATAATGTTTTGACCAGGGGGAACTGGATTACAGTGGATATGATGGGAGTAGCAGAGCTTCCTACATATTGGAGATATTTATTTTCAAGTGGGTGGTGACCATTAGGTATTTGATTTTTATTATTTATCCCTTCAACAAATATTCATTAAACATGAGGTATGCCATGCACTGCTCCAGGGGCTGGAAACTGGGTGAAAAAGACAAAAATTCCTGCTGACATAGAACTTACATACTAGTGAACTCTATACTTCATTTAGAAAATCAAAAACATTTTAAATTTTTATTTATTTTGCAGGCAGACAGAGAGATAGCTCCCATCCCCTGGCTCATTCCCCAAATGTCTACAACAACTGGGGCTGGGAACGAACTCAATCTGGGTCTCCCTACTGGGAAGCTTGATTTGGGAGCAAACCCAGGCTCTCTGATAAGAGGTACAGGTGACACAATGCAGCATCTTACCTGACAGATCAAATACCTCCCTGAAAACTGAATTTAGAGACTGTCTTCAGTATCTTCCAAACATTACTGCAGTGACTGTGAGACACTGTTTGCCAATGAAAACCCAGGAAGGGCAAACCACACTTACACTGAAGACCTTGGCAGTCTCAGAATAGGCTTCCAGGGCAGGGCTAGTGCCCGGGTTTTCCAGACTGATGTCCACATGCAAGTCCAAAGAGTTCACAACGTCAGAGGGCTCCTAAACACACACACACATGCTTGGTCAGTTTATTAGGGTACAACAGCTTTAAAACAAGAACAGGGCCACAAACACGTTTACAATGGAAAACACAGTGAGCCTTCTATTATGTAGAATGCCCTTGTCATGTACGACCAAGTCTCTTACTTCTCTTACAATTCCACTTGTAGCCCCTCCACTATTAAGAAACCTAAAAACACTTAGGTATAGCAAAAATCTGAAAGAAATTCTTAGTTAAGCTCATCACTATATTGATTAACACACAAGCATTACACATATGTAGATAACATTCCAGTTACAATGCTTATAAAATTACTGTCAATATTGTCCTCTTGGTTGTTGGCCAAGTCCTCCTTTTTAAGATTTGTCCATTTAAAAAGCAGAGTATGAGAGGAGAGGCAGAGAGACAGGAGACAGGGAGAGGGAGAGAGGGAATCACATTGAGTGTCAGGGACCCCACCACCTGGGCCATTATATGCTGCCTTCCCCCATGCTTTTGTAAGAGCCTGGTTGGAAACAGAACAGCCAGGATTTGAACCTGCATTCTTATATGGAATGCAGACATCACTAGTGGTGGCTTAACCCACTGTACCACAACACTGGACCCAACTATGTCTTTTTTAATATTTATTTATTTTAAAGTTAGAGTTACACAGAGAAAGAAGAGGAGGCAGAGAGGGAGGGAGAGAGGTCTTCCATCCACTGGTCCACTCCCCAATTGTCTGCAACGGCTGGAGCTGCACTGATCCGAAGCCAGGAGCTTCTTCTGGTCTCCCATGTGGTGCAGGGGCCTAAGCACTTGAGCCATCTTCCACTGCTTTCCCAGGCCATAGCAGAGAGCTGGATTGGAAGTGGAGTAGCTGGGACTTGAACCAGCGCTCATATGGGATGCCAGCTCTGCGGGGGGCGGCTTTACCCGCCAGCTCCCCAGCTATGTCTTTCTACTTACTATCATAGGGAGGTTTTTTTTTTTTTTTTTTTTTTTTTTTTTGACAGGCAGAGTGGACAGTGAGAGAGAGAGACAGAGAGAAAGGTCTTCCTTTTGCCATTGGTTCACCCTCCAATGGCCGCCACAGCTGGTGCGCTGCGGCCGGCGCACCACACTGATCCAAAGGCAGGAGCCAGGTGCTTATCCTGGTCTCCCATGGGGTGCAGGACCCAAGCACTTGGGCCATCCTCCACTGCACTCCCTGGCCACAGCAGAGAGCTGGCCTGGAAGAGGGGCAACTGGGACAGAATCCGGCGCCCCGACCGGGACTAGAACCCGGTGTGCCGGCGCCGCTAGGTGGAGGATTAGCCTAGTGAGCCGCGGCACCTGCGTATCATAGGGAGTTGCAACGAAATCTCTGGGAAGGAATAGTATGATCTAGAGTGGAAGGTGCCCAGGATATGCTGTCAGTAAGGGACAAGACGACTGTCTTCTTTAGTTGAAAACTGACTCTGTTCCATACAAAACCTTTTCTGTTCTACAGTCGCCTTCTACAAAGGTGATTCCCGTGTCCTAAATTAAACTCCCCAACTCTGGCCCTAGCTGACTGTTCGGAGTTGCACTGCTCCTTGTGCATTTAAGAGGATGCATGCTTCACTCACCAGTCATTAAAGCCAACCCTATCCAGCTCCAAGTCCAACTTTTTCACTTGGACTTTGGTACAGAGGGAGAGGATTTGCAGCCTTGCAGGAGGCACGGGCCCCTTCCGGTTTCTGAGGCTTCCTGTCTAATGAAACCTGTGGGAATGCCAAACTATGCAGTCCTCTTCCAAATCTCTTCCCAGATCCCATCAGGGAAACACAATGTCCACACCAGTGAAAAATCTTAATAATCATATTGCCTCTTCCTGGGAAATGATATGTTCATTTTCACTTAGCCCATTCCCAGGCAGGCCTTACTCCTCTCTTGAGCCCTGTGAGGGCCCTGACCACTTAACAGCTGCTCGACTATGAAGAAAATGTCCTCATCTTGCTGCAGACTTGGCACTTAGGATGGACTTCACTGGTATTTATAGCAAATGGTAAATAGGATTTATTTTTATTAATATCTATTTTTCTTAATATTTTTCATATATATATGACGGAGCTCTTTCAACCTACTGGTTCACTCCTCAAATGGCTATAGCATCCAGGACTGGGCCAGGTTTAAGCCAGGAGCCTAAAATTCCATCCAGGTCTCCCAGTGGGTGACAAGGACTCAAGTACTTGAGCCGTCACCTGCTGTCTCCCAGGATGCATTGGCGGGACTTTAAACAGCACTCTGATATAGGAGTCTTAAAGTGTAATTTTTGTATCATTCATCTACATTGAAAAGAACCGGGGTACCCCACAAACCTGCATATTTCTTGGACCTTCAACTCTGAATTTCTAGTGATGGGGACCCAGAATATGCATTTTATAGGCTATCTAGGCAGTTCTTATGCAGTCTGAACTCTGAGAATTATATTTAGGCAAGTAAATAGTTCTTTTTAAAGTTGTTTCCTGAGAGAAATACACTTTCAAATACCATTATGTGGTTGCTAAGGGGAAACAGTCACATAATTTATAAAATAAATTTCCTGTTGGAAGTTTAACCCCAAGAAGCATTTTTCCTACTTGGAAGATTTTCAAAATCTATGAGAAATATCAAAATTATAGCATAATATTAGAACAAGTAAATTCTACCTCCACCTGATCTACCACCCTTGGTATATATGAAATAATAGAAATTACAACTGGAATGATCATTTTCTTTTTAAAAAAAAAAAGATTTGTTCATTTGAGAGGCAGAGTTACAGATAGAGGGAGGGAGAGCCAGAGACAGAGAAGTCTTCCATCCACTGGTTCACTCCCCTAATGGAAGCAACAGCCAGAGCTGGGCCCATCAGAAGCTGGGACCTTCTTCCCCCTCTCCCATGTGGGTGCAGGGGCCCAAGCACTTGGGCCATCTTCCATTGCTTTTCCAGGCCATCAGCAGGGAGCTGGATAGAAAGTAGAGCAGACAAGCATGGAATTGGCACCCATATGGGATGCCAGCACTGCAGGAGGAGGCTTAACCTACTAGGCCACAATGCTGGCCCAAGGAATTATCATTTTCAGTACCTTAAAAATGGGTGAAATTTTCCCTGGTCAGAAAATATCAAAATACAGTACCAACTAAAAGTTGGACCTGTTAAACATTTAAGAAAGTGCTGTTTCTTGATTTTTTAATGTACCTTATTTGTGGCCTTTTTCTCATGAAATTTTACACAAAAATACTACCTTACATATTAATAGACTGACTGCTAATGTTAGCATAAAGGAAACGGGCTTCTTCAAATTAGACAAGAAAGGCATTAAGTCTAGAAGTGCAAGTGTTTGTTAACTCATAATTTTTGTTTTTAGACTTTGACCATTCAGCAATCTTTAAGAGGAAATGAGGTGAACAGAACCCGGAAACCTTACCTGGATGTGAATGATGTGCTCAGAGCAGCTCTGTGCTTGGTTTACTAGCATATTCTTCTGCAGGTACCTCTCATTATTTTCTTTAAATAAGCCTCTGGAGGTTACTCTGGAGGAAAATCCATTTGCATCAAGTGTGATATTATACACAATGGCTACGACAAAAATTACAAAAAAGTCTTACTACAAATGAATTTATAAAGAAGACAATCCCTGATTTATTGTATCTTACTGGACAAAGTCTCTGGCTTCAAGAAAATATAGAAACAGTATTCGCATTGGTAGCTTGTGGACCATGGGTAGCCTCACAGGCCATTTGTAGTTCTAGCCCTGATATGTAGATGACAATGAATATGAAGAAATGTGGTTCAGAGAAATGTGGCTTGTAGAAGAAACTTGGACCTGCCACCGGGAAACTGGATGAACGTGGGCCAGTTACTCACTCAAACATTTGCTTCATCATCCATAATGCAGAGAATGGAAAATTCTTGAGTGTCCACCGTCACACTCTCACATGTTATCTTAGTCAAGGTTCACTAAATTTGGACAGTGGATATTGTTATCCTATTTTTCAGATAACAAACTAGAACAAAAGAGGGAAATTAATTCATCCGATTTCACACAGTTAAGGCACTGTCAGAAATAAAATGGAGGTCTTTTTGAAACTACAGCTTGTGTTCAATGCCATTTTAAGGATTAACTTTTTTTTTTTTTTTTTTTTGGACAGGCAGAGTGGACAGAGAGAGAGAGACACAGAGAAAAAGGTCTTCCTTTGCCGTTGGTTCACCCCCCATTGGCCGCCGCGGCCAGTGCACCACGCTGATCCAAAGCCAGGAGCCAGGTGCTTCTCCTGGTCTCCCATGCAGGTGCAGGGCCCAAGCACTTAAGCCATCCTCCACTGCCCTCCCGGGCCACAGCAGAGAGCTGGACTGGAAGAGGGGTGGGACTAGAACCCAGT